CAATCCACGATGTCTCTGAAAGGAGCTTTGATTGTCTCCCTTTTGGTTCAGACAGTTACAGGTAAGAATATTAAAGGAATATTCTGGCACTTATATATCGGCTGCCTCAGTGATATACTATCGATTACCATAATCAGTTATGTCTATTCATTTCCCTGTCCTAAAAAGAACAAAAAACATATTTACACTAAACATATTTATAATAGAGGCGAAAGGGCAGTTGCTGAATCTCCTTGAATAAACATGAAATACATTACTATGTAACAAAACTAGAACGTTATGATAATGTCGTTCTTAAACAAACGGAGAGGATGGCTTACCAAAGCTGTTCTCATGAAGTTTTATTGAGCAACACAGTAAAAAAGTGGTTAAAGTTACTTTTGCTTTCCTTAAAGTTTAGTTATAAATCTATAAATACTCCACCAAACAGTAGCCCTATCTCTGAGATAATGAATTATACTGGTTTATAGCTTAATTTACAAGTACTTTTGACTGACGAATTCATGAAAATGTTCCACAGCGGGGGTATTTAATTAAAACTCAGTTTCAAGGTCCAGTTAGAGAAAATTTCCTCAAGCAAAGGTCCAGAACATCATAATGTCTAACTTGCATCATGATTGAGACCAGACCACATATTCAGGCCTATTAGTGCCCTCTGGTCTACAGAAATGCATAAAAGTTTACTAACTGAATTTGGCAATTCCCTTTGACTTCTTTAAGTGTATTTTGAGTTGGCAGGTTTTCTCTACAGGGAAACACATTCAAATTAATGTTAAAATTATTGTTCACGGTGACTGACAATACCCTACAGAGGCAGCAAGATGTTGAAAGACATGAACAGAATAAATTTTAGCAATATATTACATGTCATTGCCGTTAGAACAAAACCTTGTTCTCCAAAAAAGGCAACTTTACAGGAAAAGGAAGCTTCTACTGGAAATTAATGTAACAAGATTTTTTACGAAGTAATTTTAGACCATTTCTGTTGGTCTGATTATCATGAAATTTTAACACAACTCAAATTAGAAATTTAACAGAACGTTTAACAAAATTTGACATAAAACTGGCTTTTTCAAATTATGTTACAAAGTAAAAACGACAATTATGGAAATACAAGGTTTTTGCACGACAGCGATGATATGTAGTTATGTATATTAGAAAGCAATTTGAAGTCCAATACTGTAAAACTTTCACTTCTGTTGCACAAAAATAGTTTTTCTTTCTTTCCAGCAATGTCACAAGACATGAGTTCACCTTCATTGCCGGACTACAACATGACCTTTCCACCTATGCCCCAGAACTTTAACGAAATGGCCGAGAAACTGGTAATTGCAGTTATATACAAGTGTACTTTTTACAATCCGAATTCCAAAAAAGTTGGGACAGTGTGTGAAATGTTAATTAAAACAGAAAGCAGTGATTAGTGCGTTCTGTTTGACCTGTATTAAATTGAAAACAGCACATAAACACAATATTTCATGTTCTACTTTCTGAACATTGTTTTTCGTAAACATACACTCGTTCCAAATTTGATCCTTGCAACATTTTCAAAAAAGTTGCTACAGGAGCATATTTACCACTGTGTTACATCACCTTTCCTTTTAACAACACTTAATAATTGTTTGGGGACTGAAGACACAAACTGATCCATTAATGGATCAGCTTACATTACTTCCATAAATAATCTGAAATGTGGACATGGCAGACCACAACATACGTTTCCACTGTGCATCAGTCTATTTCAGATGAGTTTGAGCCCAGAGAAGTCGGCGGTGTTTCTGAACATTGTTGGCATATAACTTCCGCTGTGCATAGTACAGTCTAAACTTGCATTTTGTGGATGCAGCGATAAAGCGTTTATTGTCAACGGTGTGTCAAGGTATTTTAGAGCCTATGCAGTGATATCCATCACAGAAGCATGTTGGTTTTTAATGCAGTGCTGTCTGATGGTTCAAAGGTCACTGGCATTCATTTGTGGTTTTCGGCCTTTTCTTTTACACACAGAGATTTCTCTAGATTCCTTGTGTCTTTTGATGGTATTATGTACTATAGAGGGTGTAAATACCTAAAATCCCTTCCTCAGTCACCTTATTGCTGATGCATTTTTGGCAACGTGACATGCCTCGACTCATCCTTGCTCATAGAAGACTGTCCTGGATACTTCTTTTACACCTAAGAATAACTGCACCACCTGTTTAAGATGTTTTTTGTCCTAGTCTTAAATTGCCTCTGTCCCAACTATTTCAGGAATCAATATCAGAATGAGCATATATTTACAAAAAACAATAAAGTCGACCAGATAAAACCTCACATATCTTGTCTTTTTACTGTTGTTTTTTTTTAAACACAGGTCAGAGTAGATTTATAAATCACTGCTTTCTGTTTTTAATTTTCATTTTACATACTGTCTCAACTTTTTGGAACTGGGTTGTGCATGAGTAATAACTCCTGTTCACAAAACTTAATTGAGTAATTATATGAAGTATTAGTAAATGGACCTTTTGCTTTTCTACAATCAAAAAACCTTTGTAATTAATTGTGACGGCACTCAAAATTGCCCATTGAAGGTCCAAATAAAAATTCCGCTTCTCAGAACTGCAGTACAAGTATTTTGAAGCGTTGGATAGTCAAATTTGCATGTGTCAAATGTACAAGTACAATAAAGACATGACACAGAGAGGGCAAAAATGGTATGGCACGCTATGTACTTAATTCGGTCACCTTTTTCCCCACAGATGACCAGGTGCTCCAAGAACGGTGAGTACTGATTGCTATGATGTACATTGCTATTTCCAAGTTTGTCTAAATTCGGCATGAAATCATTTCATATGAGAGGTCATGAACAGGCATACACCTCCAAAGTACTTTCTGGGTTTATGGGCAGGCCTTCTCATGCAAGTGGTAAGCAAACAAGGCCTCATTTGCCTACTGCAAGCATGACCATGATTTTACGCTCAGCTGAGATATGCTTTATTGTCTAGGCAAACATGATTTCCCATTGCTTGCTCATAATTCAAATACGCAGTCAATTCTCTATGCTGCTCATAGTTCAGGTTCTTCTAGATGGACTAAAAAAGTGTCCACTTCAAAAATACACAAAAACAACAAAATCAGAGCGGGGGTGTCTTGTGTCTTGACAGTATGATCTGATTGCACTGTTACAGGTTACTCTCCGCCCAACATGACAGACTACTTTTTGAACAGGTAATGTGTTACTGAGCAGCTAATGAACAGCTACAAGTGCAATAATGCTTGCTGTCCAGCTATTTTTTGAACAGTTATTGAACAGCTAATGAAGAGTTACAGCACCTATAATACTTACTGAACAGGTAGAGTTATTGAACAGCTAATGAAGAGTTACAGCACCTATAATACTTACTGAACAGGTAGAGTTATTGAACAGCTAATGAAGAGTTACAGCACCTATAATACTTACTGAACAGGTAGAGTTATTGAACAGCTAATGAACAACTACAACAGTGCTTATAAGCAGGCAGAAATATTAAACAGCTAATGAAGAGCTACAACAGTGCTTATTAAACAGACAGAGTTATTGAACAGCTAATGAACAGCTGCAGCTACAACAGTACTTACAGAACAAACAGTTATTAAATGGCTAAATAACAGCTGCAGCTACAGCAATACTTCTAAACAGGTAGAGTTATTGAACAGCTAAAGAAAAGATACAACAATACTTACTGAACGGGTAGAGTTATTGAACAGCTAATGAACAGCTGCAGCTACAACAGTACTTATTGAACAATTAGTTATTGAATAGCTAATGAACAGTTACAACAATATTTACTGGACAGGAAGAGTTATTGAACAGCTAAAGAACAGTTGCAGCTGCAACAGTACTTATAAACAGGTAGAGTTATTGAAGAGCTAATGAACAGTTACAGCATCTAATACAAATTGAAGAAGCAGAGTTAGCGAAGAGCTTAGGAACAGCTACTGCTATAGTCATATTTACTGAACAAGTAGAGTTACTGTATAGTTAATGATAATACAGCTATAATAATACTCACCCACACACTAAACAGGTACAGTTACTGAACAGCTAAAGAACAGCTACAACAATACTTACTGGACAGGTAAAGTTATTGAACAGCTAATGAAAATCTGCTAATTCAGCAGAGTTATTGAAGAGCTGAAGAACAGCTGTAGCTACAGCGGAACTCGTTGAACAAGCTGTTATTGAACAGCTAATGAACAGCTACGGCAATACATACTGAACAGGTAGAGTAATTGATCAGCTAATGAACAGCTGCAGCTGCAACAGTACTTATTGAACACATATAGTTACTGAACAGCTAAGGAACAGCTGCAGCTACAACAATACTTATAAACAGGTAGAGTTATTGAACAGCTAATGAACAGCTACGACAGTACTTATCAAACAGATAGGTACTGAACAGCTAAGGAACAGCTGCGGCTACAACGATACTTATAAACAGGTACAGTTACCGAACGGCTTATGAACAGCTACAACACTTATCGAACACACAGCGTTATTGAACACCTAAAGAACAGCTACAACTACAACAATTCTGAGAAACGGGTAGAGTTGCAGAACAGTTCACGACCAGCTACAACAATACTTACTGAAGAGACAGAGCTACCGAACAGCTAAAGAACAGCTACAACAATACTTATTGAACAGACAGAGTTATTGAACAGCTAATGAACAGCTGTAGCTACAACAGTACTTATTGAACAGGTGGTTATTGAAGAGCTATTGAAAAGCTACAACGACAGTAATACTTACTGGGGTTATATTTACTGAATACTTACTGACGTAGGGTTATTGGACAGCTAACAATCAGTCACACCTGCTATAATATTTATTGAACATTTTCCAATGAGAGATGACTGAGAGGCCAATAACATGTCAGTAACGTAATCAAATGAAGTGCCTCTGTGTTTTATCTCCTTATCTCCCCTAGCTCTGCAATGCCTGAGCAGAGAATAGGAAACCCCATCTTTCTTTTTCCTCTACTCCTTTCCTCCCTACCTCCCCTGTCTGTAAATCGTGCCGCGCTGCAGCCCAACATGTCCAAACCTCCTGAGCAGGACCCAGCAATGGTATTACTCATATACTCACATACACAAAACACATTTACCCTCAAATACGTATCTTCACTTCCATGCCTTACTAAGCCGTGGCCACGCATTAGGATCTCGTTCCCGTGCCTTACTAAGTCATGGCCACGACTTAATTATCTTATTCCCATGCCTTACTACATCATGGTCACTCATTAGAATTTCATTCCCATGCCTTACTAAGTCATGGCCATGACTAAATAATCTCTTTCCTATGCCTTATTGAGTAATAGCCACGCATTAGGAGTCTTGGCCACGCATTAGGATCTCGTCCCCATGCCTTACTAAGTCATGGGAACTAAATATTTCAGTCGTGGCCACACATTAGGATCTCGTTCCCATGACTTACTAAGCGGGCAAAGATAATTAAGTCACAACATGCAGCTCTTTAACTGCCCAGTTGTGGCTCCACAGCAGCATCAGATTTGTAGGTAAAAATAAAATAATCCTCCTTTGCAGTAAAATAAAGCTCTGCTGATCGTTCAACACAGTGATCTTAATCACCGGAGTTAATGTAGAACTGAAAATTTACTGACCTTTAACCCCGAAGGTTGGTGCACAGACTGCTGGTCACCATAGCAACACAGATAACAGTCTCGCCTAGCTAGTAGCTAATGAAAAGACGAATGGACTTGATTACATTTGCAAGCAATCCAGCTGGTTTTCTGATACGTTTAATCTGCAACGAGAAACTGAAAAACGCTAAAAAATCACGAAGATGAAGTTTCTCATTCGCCAGCTTCTCATTCGAATTTTCCCGTTCCACCTTAAAAGGAGCAGCATATACAATCTGGCACCTCAGGCACCATTTAAGGTGGAATGGGAAAATTCAAACAAGAAGCTGGTGAATGAGAACCGACTTCAGCCTCGTAAAAAGTAAAACAGTGAGAGACATTTTACAAGAAACTGTTCTACTTTTGCAGAAAAATCTCCTGCCGGAGATGTGAGAAACACAGTTAAAGTTGCGCTATAGCTTAAAGCAGAGCAAAGGAAGTTTGTGTTTGGACTAGATTTTTAGCCTATACTAGCACATCAGCACATTCTGAAACATATTTACAACCAAGATGGTAAAACGGACATTAAATGTTGTGGTGAACTAATCAAAAGACTCTTCTTCCGTATTTCGTTTTGTTCTTCTCTTCGGTGACGTCTAATGCTCTGCTTGAAGAACATCACACAGAACATGTGGAACTGCACGCATCTGCCACAGATGATCGAGTTCATGAGGAACACGACGGTTAGTGCTGTCTCAGTCAGCGTCAGTCATTTACATTATCTTTTCATTTGCGCTTATCTTTTCTCTTTTATATAATCACGGTTGAGTCCATCCGTATTCCTGACTGAATTCTCTCTCTGTCAGGAGAAAGATCATTGCTTCATGCGAGCGTTTCTTGCTCCACTCTGCTGGGCCACTGTCCTTCAGAACAGCTCCCACTTCAGCCCGGATCAGCTGGGGAACTTGCTGTGGGCAGCCAAACCTTTCCTGGAGGCCGCACCCCCTACCCCACTGAGCCTGCCGTCTAGACTGCAGAGAGCTCACCTAGTGGAAATGTGAGTCTGTCACAAACAAACAGACTTTTTTCTTATTTTTCTTTGTAAAATGTTTTGGTTTTTGGTCATTATTTTTCTACTTTTCTCTTTATTTTTTTTTTATCATTTGAGCAATTGTTTTCTTTTTTCCTTTCCCTTTTACCTTTTCTTCCATTGCTTCCTCCTTTCTTTCTTTGTTTTTTTTTAACACTATTTATTTTGAAGACACGCTACAAAATACACCATTAAATGGAAATACGAGTAGAAATACAGCTCGCTGCCCCCTAGTGATCATCGCCACATACAGAAACAGCTTGGTTATGAACAAATACACCATCTTCCTTTGCACTGGACATAGATTCTGGAAAAAAATGTCGTTTTTTTTTCACTAAAAACTAATTTTATACACAACAAATGTATATTTATTTGTTGTATAAGTGTACATTTTGTCTATACATCCATTAAGACATCACGTACAGGACACGCCTCTCCCCACCGGCTCCTCCAACATCAGGACCCCTCCAAAAAAGCCAAATCCTTGCTTATTCATGTGTACATCCAGTCATCACGCTCTGACTGGTGGAGGCTTCTCATCCTTCTCATCCCATCTTCTGTGTAAAGTTTGCCTACCATAATACTAGTTTGGACCCAGCTTCTAATGTGTTTGTCTCCCCCTAATAAAATTGATCCATCGCCCAAAACAAATAATCTAAGTCTGAACGAAATTTGAACTTCTGAAATGAATCCTGGTCCAGAATTCTCGACCGTTTTCACAGGAACATAAAGCATGTAACTGATGACTTTCCTCTAGTTTGCCTTTCCAGCAGGTCAGCGCAGCGCATAGGCTCACAGCTAGAAGGGTCTGGGTTCGATTCCCCAGCCGGGCAGTCCTTTCTGTGTGGAGTGTGCATGTTCTCTCCATGTCTGCGTGGGTTTCCTCCCACAGTCCAATTGAATATGCTAAATTGCCCCTAGGTGTGAATATGTGCGTGACTATATATCGTCGCTGTCCAAAGAAAACCATGTATCTCCATTTTTGCCGATTTTAATTTTTCTACATCATTTCAACACACCAGCTGTCCTTTATGTTGTGTGAAAATTTCATGATGAATGGACCAACAGAAATGCTCTAAAATCATTTAGAATAAAATCTGTTTACATTGACTTACATTAAAAGGTAAGTGTGATTTTGCCTTTTCCTGTAAAGTTACTGTTTTGGAGATACTTGTTTTTCTTTGGACAGCAACGATATGTCTGTGTGTCTGCCCTGCGATCTTGAGAAGCAGTCTGATAGAGACTATGTATTGATCTGTCAGGGTCAAACACAAATAATAATATGTCTTCCATGTAGAGCATAAGTTAGTGTACTACTCCACCAACCAGGACCCTCAGGAAATCTACTCATGGCAAAGCAAAACAGCAGAGGAGAGAGGCTGGGCCTCACCTACTTCCCCAAAGTACCTAGAAATGAGTCAGCTCCCTCTGGGTGTCTATAATACCCGTATCCAAATCCAAACAGGCTCAGAATTTTGAATAAATTGCCCCAATCGACCACATTGAATGCCTTTATGGCATCTGAGGAAACGCCAGCTACCAGGGACTGAACTTCAGCCATCAACCGCTTAATATTAATGAACCGTCTTATTTTATCCACACAGCTTAGACCTTGAATAAACCCCTTCTTGATCATTATGAATTAAAGATGCGATTACCTTGTTTAGCTGATTTGCCAAGACTTTAGAAACTATTTTAATGTCGGTCTGGATTATAGAAATTGGATGGTAGCTTTACAGTTGCAAGGGTCCTTATCCTTTCTATAAGTTCCTCAATGGTTATCTTTCTTTCTTTTCTTCGGCGAGACGATGAGCTCTCTTTCTGAAAAACAATGGGGAATCATATCTGTCACTTACTTTCCCATTCTTTTATCATATACACCTCTTTCTCTTGTCCCTCTTTCTTTATTTCTGAAGGATGAAGCTGTTCAGTGAGGTGTTTAGCTCCCTCTCCGAGGAAAACCGGGATGAGATCAAGCGGTGGATGAAAGAAAGGGTGACCGAAAATGAACCCCTCTGTCATCCAGTTCAGAACATCTCCAGCACCCTCCCTCCGACCCCCCCGAAACCTTCTGCAATGACCAAACTTGAACCAGCAACAGACAACCAAGGCCTCCGTAAGTCTCTGTAAAAGTTTTCTATGTTAAAGCAGTCAGTGACCATTTTACCGGACCTTAACTTGTACTTACCCTGCCTGCAAACAGGATGGTAGTTTTTTCCAGGGAGGAACTTGTTCATGCAGAATGCGCATTCAGGTGGTTTATGTGAGAGATGAGCAGAACACTGAGGTTATGAAGTGAGTGTTGTAGTTTATCAGCTATCGATCTGTTGGTCTATTTTAATGGTGTTTTGATATCATACAAAGCAGACATAAAATATAAGGAGATGTATGTTTTACATTATTTTTTCCTTACTAGTTATTAAAGGTTTGCAGTTTATCTCACTGCTTTCAGTTTGACTGTTCTCTTCTATCCTCTGGTATGATGACAATAGAAGTGATGTCACGACTCGGCCTGGAGTACCCAACTTCACCAGGCGACTTCAAATAGTGCTTATATGGTCCCTCCTGGTAGAAAACTGGCTTACTGATGAAACTCAGACCCGTTAAAAGCATCACACTCTGTGGCCACTTGAGCTCCTCTCACCTCAGAGGTCCACTATATGGGTGTACAATTACAGCCCTTCTGTTGCTGCAGAGTTTATCATTCCCCCTCCACCCCATTCATCACTGGTCAGTTTCTGACCACAAGAATGTTGTTGTATGTTGTGTGCTGATGATATGAAATTTCAGCACTGAAGCTTGTAAAGTGACCATTTAATGGAACAGCAAATTTTTCTTGCTTTTTTAAAATAATGTAAACACTGTTAAAGCACAGGGTACTATTCACTCCCCAGTCCATGCAGCCCATATATATATATATAAAATCACTAAACAGTGCATTTTTTTCCATCTTCATTCACGAAAACCAACACATTTACATAAAGTCATCTATTCATCCTACAGCAGTTTAGCCCCACCCATTTGCAATTAAGTTATAAGTAATGTTTCAACTGCTTTTTAAATGAGGCACAATAAGTGTCAGACTAACCCCTGGGAACAGAGTTACAAGGGGTAGTGGTTGAAATCTTCCCCTATGAAATGAAATCCTCAAATGGAAAAAAAAAAACTGCTTCATTAACAGCTGCTAGCGCTGCTCTGTAGGCGACCCTGCCCGTCTGCAGTGACAGCAGAGGAGGGTAAAGTTCAGCTCCTCACTGCTGGGCTTTAGTTACATTTAGGACATCATATGCCTTCAAAGAGGGGGGCAATTATTTATTATCACCCACCGCTAATTTACTGGTGATATTCACCAGGTTCTTGTTCGAATTTTCCCATTCCACCTTAAATGGTGCAGCAGTTACATTCTGGTGCTTCAGGCGTCAGAACTGCTGAATTATTTAAGGTGGAATGGGAAAATTAGCTAGCTAGCTACCGAGACATTAGCCTACTTTTAGCCATTTTTGTATGCTTGTTACAAAAAAAGGACCATAATACATTGAAACGACATTAAACTAAGATAATACAGAGAAATAATACGGAGAAAATTCTCACATTTGTGGGTTTCTTTGGTCTCTTGTTCAGCCATCTTGCCGGTTTTTCTTTTTTTTAATCATAACTCTCTGTTTGGAGTCTCTGAAAAACCTCTGTTTGGAGGGCCATGTAGCCCAAACACTTCACCCTATCCCTCCATCTCAACAAAAATTGGGACACCCTACCCCGAGACGTGAATGCGCAAAACGGAGTGTTAAGGGCTAAGTGGTAGGGGCAAGGGGTGAAATGGGATTGGGTCCAAATCAGAGCCGAGCTTATTTACGTATATCAGCCTTACATAAAAATGAATTATGACTTATGACCCCTTAACGTGCCATTGGCCCGACAGCACGCCCAAAGTTTTATTACACACTTCTATAACCTAAGAATAGCTCCATTAGTTTACATTGACATCCCTGTAGGACTGAATAATAAGCCTTAGTATGAAATAAACCTGGAGTGTTAAGGGGTTAATACCACATAAATGTCATATGTGGACAGGGTATAATAAAATACAGTGGGTCAAGTAGGTATGCTTTTTTACTGAATGGCAGCATATTGGGCCATCTTTAGTGCAGAAACATTTTTTAATTGTGTCCCTGTATTGACAGCTGCACTGTGTTCTTATTGTGGCCATTTCATTTATTACAACAGGCAGCTGGTGTGTGTGAAAAGGTGGCTCGTTTTTGTTTGAGCAGTGTCTTGTGCATCCAAAATGGCATCAGTAAACACAAACTCACCAACACCACTGTAAGAAAAACAATGTAAGACTTTTCCACTCTTGTGCTTTACAGTATCTTTAGTGCAGTCTGGTTGGAATTCTTCTCCAGGCTTTGTTCACACAGAGTCTCCTGTTAGTTTGAAGTGAACCGTTTTTCCTCTGAAACAAATATCAAATATCAGATATCAAATATCAGATATCAAATATCAAATATCAAATCTCAAATATCAAATATCAATATCATATTATCAAGGTACAAACTACGTAAATATGCCCTCAAAGGTACAACAGTGGGTTTAAGATCCAATCATGTACCTTAAATATGTTTTTCTCAGTGGAAAAGTACATATTTGTACTTTTCATAACCTGAAGTTTTAAAGCAGAACAATAAATTATAGTAGATGAGATGGGGTGTGTGGATTATGGTATGATTGTGTTCCCTGACTAAAGGTACTGAGATGTACCCTCGAGGGTACCACCCCAGTGACAAGAGGGGTACTGCCCCAGTGACAGATTCGTACCTTTTTTTCTGAGAGTTTACCAGTGGTTGAGGGATTAAGATGATACTTGTCCACATTTAGCACTTTGTCCACCACTCAGGTTCATCTTTCTTGTGGCAATCTCAGAAAATAGTGAGTAATGAGGACTGTCTGAATGCATCATGTTACTGTTGTGTTAATAATGAACTTCTGCATTTTTATTCTAACCAACCCATCATCACTTCTCTTGATTGATCCAGAGACTGGCCCGACGAATTGGGTGACGAGTGGTGATAAAGCTCTGAAGAGAGCACGCCGAGGTTTAGCAGCTAGACAGGGATTAGGGCAGGGGAATTTGAAAGTAACACAGCCGTCAAAGATAGTGGAGAATCCAGTAAAAGCAGAAATCCCAGCAAACCCGCAGAATCCTGATAAACTGTCAGAGGTACCAGTAAACCAGCAGAATCCCAATAAACCAGCAGAAACCCCAGGAAGCCAGCAGAATCCCAGTACACTGGCAGAACTCCCAGTGAACCAGATGAAAAACCCAGGTGCTAGCAATGATACTTTACCACAGACTCCTGGGAATAGTGATAAGACAGAAAAGGAGCTGAGCAAGGTAGAAGAAGTTACAGAGCAAGGGGACAAGAAAGAAACGGTCGGTCAAAACCCAGGGAAACAAGATGACAGTGGAAAACAGATAGATGTTGGGAACGGGAATGGGAAAAATGAAAGCAAAGAGCATATGGTGCCCGAAGAGCCGAGCACAGCAAAGGAGGAAAAAGAGACAGGAAAAGATGGGCAGAAGCAGCAGAGCGAAGGCAGTGCGGATGATGGAGGAAAAAACAAGTGTAAGTTTCGTCCACCATTATGTAGTCCAGGCAGAGGAGGATGAATAGAGGCCATCTATTCATTGGAACAATTGTGTTTGTGCTCGTGTGTGTGTAAATGGTGTAGATGGAGACTCCTCTGGTCATTTGTTGTTTGATTCGTGTTCATGTTCTGCAGATTTAGGTATATATTTGGAAATATATTGTCCACTTTGGAGCATATGGCATTTAACATTCACAATCCAAGTAGGGAAACACATTTCCAGATGCCTGTCCATTCAGCCTACAGCACTTCAGCTCCACCCACTCTCTTTCTGAAGTGATGTGAAATGCGGTTCCTGCAGAGATTAAGAAGGTTGACATAACAGCATACAATGATGACCAAACTCATTATGACCATCTGCCTAATATGATGTTGGCCCTCTATGTGCCACCAAGACAGCTCCAGCCAGACCTCTGAAGGTGCCCTGCGGTATCTGGCCACAAGAAGTTTGAAGCAGATCCTTTAAGTCCTGTGAGTTGTGAAGTGAAGCTGGCGTGAACCGGACTTCCCATCCCACAGATGCTTGATCGGATTGAGAATTTGGAGGCCAGGAGAAAACCCAGAACTCTTCATCATGGTCCTAAAACCGTTCCTGAACAATGTCCACGCATGGCAGGGCACATTATCCTGCAGAAAGAGGCCACTTCCATCAGGGCATACTATTGCCATAAAGAGCTGCACCTGGTCCACTACAACGTTAGGTAGGTAGCAGTTGTCAATTCGACGGCTGCATTAAGAGTTTCCCAGTAGATGTGAATAAAACAGGACTCATCCGACTATTTTCCATTGCTCCAAGGTCCAGTTCTGACGCTTGTGTTCCCCCTGTAAGCACAGAATCATCACTCTTACCATTCTGCGGCTAGTAAAAATTTCTGTGACCCATGCCACAGTAGCCCTTCTGTTGGTTCGGACCAGACAGGAAAGCCTTTGTTGCCCTTGTGCATTGATGAGCTTTGGGCACCCAACAACCTATTGCCGGTTTGTGGATTGTCCCTCCCCAGACCACTGCGGGTTAGGACCTCTGCTGACCAGGAGCACCCCACAGACCCAGACCTTGACATAATAATCAGCATTAGTATTGAATCACTGAACTGTCATAATGTTTTGGCTTATCTGTGCATTTTGACTGTTGCAAATAGACTTAAGGGAATACAGAGAGAAATACTGGCTCGTTGTCCTGGCTGACCCTGAAAAAGACATGGCTAAAGACAAGCTGTCGACAAATAGGAAGGGAGAAAGAAGAGACTGACGAAGACTAGGAGAAAACAACAGCTAATGAGAGAGAGATACCAAGTTTAGGAGAAGAAGAGGGGGAAGAAAGCAGGATTAGGGAGAAAAGAGAAAGACTTTAAAATTAGATTTGTCAGGAAGTGGCAGGAGAACCCGAATTAATAGAGAATAATTCTGATTCTGATCTCTCCTAATCTCTTTAGCCAACTCATCTCCTGCTGGATGTCCCAGAATGCCTTGGTTGAAGGCTGAGGCCCTCAGGATGATGGGGCGATTCTTTTCCCGGCTGCCTGAAGTGGAAGTGAAGGCTATCCCTACGGAAGAGGTCAGTCTACAGGATGTTTCTACTCTGTACTCTAAAAAAAACCCTGAACATAAACAAGAAATATACACGTGTTAATAAAAACAACATAAGTATATTTGTCTGCATTTAACCCTGTTTGAACCCTCCCTCTTTTTCTCAGCTTTGTAAGTTCTTTGTGACTCCTGAATTCCCATCTTCGTTCGCCAAAGTGGATGGGATGCAGCCGGCGATTAGTCGGATGCTCTTTCAACGACTCAAGCAAGAATGTTCCAACAGCAGCCAGAACTTCCTGACCCATGTTGACAGGTGAATGCCCTGTATGATTTTATACAACCCTATTTCCAAAAAAGCTGGAATTAAATAAAATAAAAATAAAAACAGAATGCAATGATGTGCAAATCATTAAAACCCAATATTGATTTGAAGTAGTACAAAGAAAACATATCAAAACGGAGAGTTTACATTTACATTACATTACGTTACAAATTTAAATTTAGAAAATCAATATTTGACATTTGTGAATCGATTCAGAATCGTTTACGTCCGCATTGCGATGCATCTAAGAATCGATTTTTTCCCGCACCCCTAATATTACACATTACACACTATTCGATTTGATTATTATTCAGAGGCTGCGATGCGATTATAAAACGATTATCGATGCATCTCGATGCATCTTTTTAATATATACAAGATTTCTATTTTCTTACTGTCTGACGACTCGGTAGTTTTAAAGCAAAGTATTTGTAATGATCCATAATCAATTCACTTCCAATATCTTTATTAATAAAACAAATGGAAGTGATGTGGCAAGTGAACTAGAAGGCTCACATTCAGAGAAGCTGCTGCCACTCATCTGCGATAAAATGCGCTGTTACGGTGAAATAAGATCCAGTGGAGATGGATGTCCACGCAGCGTGTTACAGCCGTCCTACCCGTTTAATTCAGTGACTTTATGACTTCGGTTTTGGTCTCGTTGTACAGAGTGGGGGGGTCGCTGTGTCAGTAAAGTATCTTTGAAACGGGGCGTGAGCAACATAGCGCGAAAGCCCTGTTTCACAACGACTGAGAATGGGCGTGCAGACCGCAGGTCACATAGCAGTGAGGTTTCGCCGAGCGAGTAGCAAACAAAAAAGGAAAAGAGAAAGACAGATGAACATTTGGAGACAAATGGACTTATTCGTATTCATAAGCAGCGCAGTTGGTTTCCTGGTACGTTAAATCTGCAACAAGAAACTGTCAAACACTAATAAGTCGCACAGCTGAGGTCAGCTTCTCTTTCGAATTTTCCCGTTCCACCTTAAATGCCGCGTTTACGTTCAGGCAGAATTTAAGGTGGAACAGGAAAATTCGAACAAGAAGCTGGAGAATAAGAAGCGACTTCAGCCTCGTAAAACAGTCGAGCTTTGAGAGACATTTTACAAGAAATTCTTGTAAAATTCAAGTTTTCTGGCGGAGAGGAAAGCGGCTGTAGGCAAAGCTTAAAGCAGAGCAAAGTAAATCTGCGCTCTCGTTTATATTGTTTAGCCTAAACTAGGACATTAACAGAAACTGAGACATACTGGACATTAAATGTTTGATTTTTGCTGAAAGGACAAAACTGCTCTTCTTATCATTTGTGTTGTGACTCCTGATCTAACCTGGCTTTAATGCAGAGGGAGCCGCTGCACTTGCCCACTTCCAGTTCCGCCTTTTTGCGTTCCGTCAACATTACGTTACAAATTTAAATTTAGAAAATCGATATTTGACATTTGTGAATCAATTCAGAATCATTTACGTCCGCATCGCGATGCATCTAAGAATCGATTTTTTCCTGCACTCCTAATATTACACACACACATATATATATATATATATATATATATATATATATATATATATATATAATATGTTATATATTTGTGTGTGTGTGCCCCTTTTGAATTTGAAGCCAGCAACGTTTTGAAAAAGTTGTTACAGGAGCTTGTTTACCACTGTGTTGCATCACCTTTCAGTTGCTGACAGTTTGGAGTCAGACATGTCTGGACTGCGGGCAGGCCAGTTTAGCACCTAGACTCTTTTACCACGGAGCCATGCTGTTGTAATAAGTGCAGAATGTGGTTTGCCATTGTCTTGCTGAAAAAAGCAAGGCCTTCCCTGAAAAAGACGTCTGGATGGCAGCATATGTTGCTCCTAAACTTGCATACATCGTTCCGCATTAAATGAGCTCAGGCCCAGAGAAGTCGGTGGCGTTTCTGGATCCTGTTATGGTTCTTTCTTTGCATGGTAGAGTTTCAACTTGCACTTGTGGATGCAGAGATGAACTGTGTTCACAGTGGTTTCCGGAATTGCTCCTGGGTCCATGCAGTGATTTCCACAACAGAATCGTGATTGATTTTTAACGTAGTGCAGCTTTAGACCTGAAGATCACAGCCAGTCAGTAATAGTTTTCAGCCTTGTCCCTTGCATACAGAGATTTCTCTGGATTCTCTGAATCTTTTAATGATATTATGTAGGGATGCATTGACACAGTTACTGGCATCGGGCCGATACATTGGGCTCGTTCACATGTACTTTTAGTCATAAAAATTCTGATACTCATGTTAGCCGACACACACAATCACAACTTCTTTCCCAATAGGTCATGTTACTGACCTGTTGCCAATTAACCAAATCAGTATTAGTATTAGCATTACACAGCTTTACCTTTACTTTTGTTGCTTTGTCCCAAATTTTTTGAAACGTGTTGCTGGCCTCACATTCAAAATGAGCATATATGTTTCAAAAAACAAAATTTCTTAGTTGTACTATTTTCAATTAAATATAGGGTTTAAATCATTGCATTGTGTTTTTATTTATATTTTGCACAGCATCCCAACTTTTTTTGGAAACTGTTGTAGTAGGAAGAATCATCAGCAAAAGTTCATGCCTTTGGCCTCTTTCTACCGAGGCTTTGCACAGAACAGAACAAATTTGGTGTTGGTTTTTTTGACTTGATTATCTTGTAGCCAATTTTGCTGTAAGATGTATACTTTGCAAGTTATTCTGTGGTCAGAAATAATGTGCTTTAAATATTAGAGGTGGGCAATATGTTTTCATTATCAAGAGAAATTATCATATCAGTATTGTGTTGTTGTATTTTTTACATCACTGACCCTCACTTCAACATCTCTTCCTGGCTTTTTCTGGCCAGGCTCGGCTCTCTCGTCTGTTTCTTTGATGATGCTCGATCTCTCAATGCCACACTGAGTAAGAAGCTGCTGTCCCAGATGGCAGACTGCGAGAATGCTGGGATTGACCAGGTTTGAAAAACTTTTAATTTATCTTTCTTGAATTTGTTTGCACACAACAACAGTAATGCTGCTTATTTAGCCAGTGATACTCTCAAGGCCCTTTTTATTTGATTTACCTTACATATCCAGGCCTCTATACAGGCATATATTAGTGTTTTCCCTAGTCTATACGACTGATGCAACTAATCAGCTAATTAACAAGCCCTTCTGGTAGCTCTCTTTTGGAAGCAAGTTGGTTCCTTCCAACTGATAATATATAATCCGTCATGATATTTAGGCCAATTCCATTTCACCTCTTGCCAATATCACTTAGCCTTTACCCCTCCATTCACTCCTAGGGGTAGGGTGTCCCGATTTTTGTTGAGATAGAGGGGTAGGGCGAAGGGTTTTTCAGAGACAGTCCAAACAGAGTGTTATTAGAAAAAAAAGAAAAACGGCAAGATGGCTGCGCAAGCGACCAAAGAAACCCACAAATGTGAGAATTTTCTACTCTAAAAAAATATGAGAACCACTGTTTTATCTTAGTTTAATGTCATTTCAGTGTATTATGGTCCTTTTCTTCATAACAAGCAGAAAAATCGCTAGTAGTATGCTGATGTCTTGGCAGCTAGCTAGCTAAAGTTCCCATTCCACCTTAAATTTAAGGTGGAATGGGAAAATTTGAACAAGAAGCTGGCGAATAGCTGAATTCAGCTTCATATCACTGAAGAATTAGGGGTGGGTGATAATAAATAATCGCCCCCTCTTTGAAGGCGTATGATTCCCTAAATGTAACTAAAGCCCAGCAGTGAGGAGCTGAACTTTACCCTCCTCTGCTGTCACTGCAGACTGGCAGGGTCGCCTACAGAGCAGCGCTAGTAGCTGCTAATGAAGTGATGTTCTTTTTTATTTGAGGGTCCCATTTCATAGGGGAGATTTCAACCACTCGAGGAGACACTCGAAAACAAGGAGTAGGGGTAAAGATAAGAAGTAGGATTGGGCCTTCGCTTCTCTGAAGTTTGCTAACAAGTTGGCTATTTGTTACATTGCATCACTGAAAGTCATCCACGAAAGAGACCAGCCTTTATAGAAGATGAGGAGTCAGGATTATCTGCCTTTGCACTGCTTAGCTTTAGTGTTAGCATTAACTTAACTGCTAAACTTTAATTTGTGCTACCAATGCGCCACTGTTTAAGCATTATGAGGTGTTAATATAAGCACAATTCTGTTTTTTCCTTCTCTGTGCTTAACTGAATACCTGTTTATTAACTCATGAATATTCGACTGTCAAAACTAGCTAGAATACATGCGCCAGTACACCAGTTTTTATTGTATTCAGCACAATAAGTGAAATCAAAAAGGATAACAGCGAATAATGCTATTATGGGTAATACCTGCCATAATACCATGCTCAAAAAGCATATGACTAATTTATTGAGAGAATAATAGCTCACCACTGTATGATACCCCTGTTTATGCCTTTAACTCCACACACTAACCTTGCCGCTGCTTCTTCTCCTCCTCCATGTCCCTCTTTCTTTGAATTCGCTCTCTCTCAGATAAGACGAGACTTAATGAGGAAGGTGATGTCGAACGGTGACGTTCCCCCCACCCTTGAGCTCTTGCGGACTCTGGGTTCCAGTGTGTCCATCCTGCCTCCCTCCAAACTGTCCGACTTCAGCGCTGATACTCTGAAGGATGGCCTGGCCAGTCTGAGCCAGGTCAAATGGAAGCCAGTTCAGGCCAGAATTTTGGCCCAAAAACTCCTGGAGAAGGTGAAGGTTAGATAGGGTTGCTTTGTCTGTAGTAGGGCTGAGTAATACTGAGAAAACTTACCACAATATATATTTGTCCATATTATTCAATACTGACACTGATAATTATCACGTTTGGATATTATCTGTCAAACTCACATGCTTTCTCCTTCTCTATAATCTTAGCACAGAAAATAGCTCACTAGCTATCTCTGTTAATTATTCTGCTAGAGTGTGCTGTTGCCAGTGAATGGCTCCACTTCTAAATATCCAGCGCATAAAAAATGCATTTGTCCCCATCGTGCTGTTGCTGCCAGGCCCACATGGCTCTCCTCCATCCCCAACCAACCCTCTGTCCTTCTTTAGAACGTCACTGGTGAAAGTCTCTTATCTCTGGGCTCCATGGTGAGAGGAGTGGACAGCGAAATACTGAGGAAGGTTAAACTGCAGGGACTGCTGGGAAATGAAGCCTTGAAGAACATGACTGAGAAGATGTCGTCTTTGCAGAAAAAGGCTCTGCTAGAGGGGGTGAGTATTATATGTGTATGTACATCACCAACATTACCATCCAAAAGCTTGGAATTACTGCTCTCAATAATATGAAGCCATATGTGCAAAGTGATTCTAGTACGATGCTGGTACTCAACTTCAAATTAGTAATAAATAAAGAAATTTCATAATTCACAGATTGATGACTGGAACTGCTTGTAGTTGAAAATTGACTGAAGTTGAATCATAAAAATGATGTAATGAATGTCCAGAAATGATGAGTAAAAAAAAAAATATATATATATATATATATATATATATATATATATATATATATATATATATATATGGATAGATAGATATAAAATACAGTTTATGTGTTGCAGTTTGAGTTTACAGTGGGAGCTTTTTATGCATTTCTTTCTCAGTTGCGCTCCAGTTTGAATGAATCTGATTTGGTGAAGAAGGTGCCAGATCCTCTCCTCCCCTCACTTTCTCTCTTCTTTCTGGAGAAAGCAGGAATTAGCTCTGTGGACCAGCTGGAGGGTCGCAGCTGGTCCCGTACACAGGTATGCTATCACACACACACACACACACACACACACACACACACAAAAGTTTAATACGAAAAAGTATAATGCAAACACATTCACCCTCTAACATACTCACCAGTGTGCACACACATTCAAACTGATCTACAGGATTAGTTTTACTTGGGGAGGAACTGTCATTTAAGTGATTACTGATGAAATCTGTATGAATGTCCAGAGTGTGTAATTTTAGTCAGACAGTAAAAACTGCTGAGTGATTTTAATCCAGTATGAATCTGCAGTGTGTGTAGTTTTACAGTCTGACGGTAATAATTGTGGAGCGATTTTAATCCAGTATGAATCTGCAGTGTGTGTAGTTTTACAGTCTGACAGTAATAATTGTGGAGCGATTTTAATCCAGTATGAATCTGCAGTGTGTGTAGTTTTACAGTCTGACAGTAATAATTGTGGAGCGTTTTAATCCAGTACGAATCTGCAGTGTGTGTAGTTTTACAGTCTGACAGTAATAATTGTGGAGCGTTTTAATCCAGTATGAATCTGCAGTGTGTGTAGTTTTTACAGTCTGACAGTAATAATTGTGGAGTGATTTTAATCCAGTATGAATCTGCAGTGTGTGTAGTTTTACAGTCTGACAGTAATAATTGTGGAGCGTTTTAATCCAGTATGAATCTGCAGTGTGTGTAGTTTTACAGTCTGACAGTAATAATTATGGAGTGATTTTAATCCAGTATGAATCTGCAGTGTGTGTAGTTTTTAGTCTGACAGTTATAACTGTAGGGAGATTTTAATCCAGCTGGAATCTGCAGTGAATCCAGTATGGCTTTTGGGCGTTTCTAGGCACATCTTATGAGTACAACTGCAGCCTCGAATGAAATCTTTCCCACGGAAAACACAGATATGCAGCTTCACTGGGATAATGGTGGAATGAAATGGCTGCTAAGCAGTGATTGGAGGGCCAAGAAAATAAGGCAGGGCTTCAGATTTGTCTATCAAAGAACACAGTGTGGTTAAACAGGCTGAAATCATTAGTGATGAGTTCACAGATTTGGATTAAAGCTATTTGCATTTGAAACCACTTCACTTTAGAAAGAGTCAAAATAAGTAAATAAATTAATTAAAACTATTTAGCCCTATAGACAATGAAGGGGGTACTCAGGCCCCACCACCCCCCTTCCTCTCCAAGTATGTGTCATTTTTACAGTCTCACAAAACCTGGAATAACAAAACAGGGCCGTGTAGCCTGTTGTTATTGTTAGTGAGCGTCCTGTGGGGTAATTTAATGATATCGATCCCGTACCAAATGACCAATTAAATACAACATTATATAGCCTTCTGTGGTAATCCAGCTCCAATAGTTTTTCACTGTTTTCATGTTTGATTTCTCTAGTCTGTTTACCTTGTAAAGAAGATTTTGGGTCAGGGGATCAAACCTGAGCAAATAAGGTGAGCCAGTTGACAGTACATACAGACAGAGCTACTAACCGATAGTGACCGCCTACGAATGAAAAATAGACCTTGATCCGCTATCATGCTATCAAGAAAAACAAGTCCATCATTTCTTAACAGGAGGCTGGGCCAGGCTGTCCAGGGTGTAACCTGCAGCATGATTGACAGCGTCAATCAAAGTGATACCTTGACAACAGTGCAAACACTGGCCAATTCTTCTAACTGGCTGTCTAGGACGCAGGTAAGGACTAAGATATGGTATCATGACATCACTGACTAACATAATTCTGTTTTCTGTATCATTGCTGTTAAAATGTTCACACTTACAAATGATGGTTCTTCAATGGTTCAGAAAAGAAAACGGTTCTATATAGAACCATGAACATTTAAAGAACCCTTTCCATGATTAAATGGTTCTTTACATGGTAAAAACGTTATTCAGATTGATGGGGAATGTGTTGTAGACGTTTCTCTATAGAACCTAGGTTCTATGTGGCATCAAAAAGGGTGCTACATAGACCACATAGAGGAACACATTTTGGTGCTATATAGAACCATTTTTAAAAAGGTTCTATATGGAACCATATACAGCATATTCCCTGTCAATCTGAAGAAACTTTTTACTCATGGAAAGGGTTCTTTAAATGTTCTTGGTTCTAAATAAAACCATCTACAGCACATTCCCCATCAATCTCAAGAACACTTTAATCATGGAATGGGTTCTTTGAATGTCCATAGTTCTAAGCGGAACCTAGGGTCTAGGTAGCACCATTTTCAAAAAGGTTCTTTATAGAACCATCTACAGCACATTCCCCATCAATCCGAAGAACGCTTTCATCATGGAAAGGGTTCTTTGAATGTTCATGGTTCTATATAGGACCTAGGGTCTACGCAGCACCAAAAAGGGTTCTTCTATTGTAACAAGCCTGACATCATAACAATAGAGGAACCCTTTTTGGTGCTATATAGAACCACTTTAAAAAAGGTTCTGTATAGAACCATCTACAGCACATTCCCCATCTATCTGAAGAACGCTTTCACAATGCAAAGAACCCTTTAATCATGGAAAGGGTTCTTTGAATGTTTATGGTTCTATATAGAACCATTTTCTTTGCTAAAGTGTGGAGCCCTGCTGGTGACATCTTGTAAAAATAAAAATAATGCGTGGCCATGAGTTAGTAAGGCATGGGAACGTGATAATTGAGTTGTGGCCACAACTTAGTAAGGCATGGAGATGAGATCCTAAAGCGTGGCTTTGACTTATTGAGATGATTAAGCCTTGACCACAGCTGAAAAATGCATGATCTTGTTCCCATGCCTTAATAAATCGTGGCCACAACGTAATTATCTTGTTCCCACGCCTTACTAACTCATGTTAATATGGCATGGCCACGCATTATTTTTATTTATTCACCAACAGGGCTCCGTACCAACGAACGCTTGAAGGACCATTTTTAAGTGTGAACTGAAAATATTTATAAAGCACTAATACAAACTGAAATCACATTGAAATTATTATTACTAATAGTATTATACTGATCTTGCAGGGGGACAGTAGCAGTGAACTGTTCACTTCCATGTTGTAATTACACATCTTTATCAGAAGCATCACAGTTATTTACATTGGGTATTTATTACTCAGTGGAATATTAATATCTTCTTAGTATGTCAATATTTTCTGCATGAAAAGTTCTGTACATTCTGATCAGTCAGTCTGATTTATTACAGTCTGAGTCCTGTAATGCTTCCTTCCAGGTTCGCTGCATTGCTCAAAAACTCTTCCTCAGTCTAGAGAAGCTGAGGCCCGGCTATTTCGTGAACATCACCGGCTCAGAGCTCCAGGCCATCCCTGCTCTGCTGCTGATCCATCTACCGTGAGTCACTTTCACAGAGCAGCCTTAAAGCGAAATAGCTGGCGAAGACACGTTTGGTGTCTGAAGTTTGCTTCTTTAGTTTTGTAGTGGCACTTCAAGGCTAATGTCGCTAATAGGTAATGGAAGCTTATAGCCTCCAGGTAAGCATTCTTCAAGCTTGACTGCCCCTAAATCATCACACATGTACCTCAAATTGTGTTGAGTTTAGCAGTGGGCGACATGGCCAAAAATTTCTATCACAGATTTGGGCATATATTAGGCTATGTATTTATTTATTTATCTTATATAAAGCTATTTTGTATGAATAAAAACCATTTTAACAACCAAAGAGAACTTATCCCTCTGTAATGCCTTCCAGGTTTCTCAAACGCTAGAGGGCGCTCCCGAGCGAGTCCGAAATGAATGGGCTAAGATGGAGCATTTGAGCAAAATCATAGTTTATAAATACTTAAACATTTTTAATGTAAAACAGTACAGTCAGTTTCTGAACACAGAGCAGCATAAAACATTTTAACACTGCTGATTCATTTTTAAGAGCTGTTAAACTTGGGTTAAGGGGTTTAAAACAGCGCCTCATGTACCTTCATGATGTCTGTGAGCGCGAACAGCCAATGAGCTGCTCTGCTTGCCAACCAATCAGCACTCAGTAGCAGTAATGTTTGCGTTCTGCTGCCCAAAACCCGTTTGCTGTAGAAAAAAGGAAACATGCATTTGCGTTTTCTTTGTTTTTTGAGTGAAATACATCCTTCTACTTTCTAAAATTAAAGAAACGTTCTGGGCGAGTGATTAGAAACTATTTGAACTTTACGTTTTTAGCCATTGAGCTCCATTCACTCCCATTCACTGAGGACTTGCTCGTGGGCGCCAGTCATGTTTTTTGATATAACAGGGGAAACAGGAAGCGGCCAGGCTCCTCATAAACTGGCTCTGACATAACTACACTAATGTTCAGGAGATAGAGACCCCTGTAGGGGAGGAGGAGACACTTCAGCAGTGGACATGACACATACAGCATTTTGTGTTGTTTTTGACAACTTCTTGCCTTATTGCGTGAGTGTGTGATAATTTAGCCATGCTAACCTGGTGCCCATGGTTTCCATTACTTGTTAGCAACAATAATCTCATAGCTTTCAAAGCATAAAGCTAAAGAAAAGCAAACATGTCTTATCTGCTCAACTACATTTGAGTTAAGGAGCAAATTGCGTAATTTTGATTTTTGGCCAACTTTCACTTCCATAATCCAGGAAAACATTTAGTAATGGTTACAATATGCTTGTTTTTTTGTTTTCTCCCTTATCCAATCACACTCATATACACATTTTTACCCGTCACTCACACATATAACCCATTAAAAACACACACACACACACACACACACACACACACACACACACACACACACACACAAAACCATGTACACAGAATAAAGGCGATTCAAGGTCTCCCGGCCACAGTGTGTCCTCGTTTCCTAGAGAAGATGAGTCAAGCCAACCTGACGTCCCTACCGAACAGTGCACCGTCACGCTGGGAGCTCAGAGACAGAGCTCTCCGCTGCCTGGTAACCTGTTTTCATACAATTTAAGAGTGTGAAGTAAATGTCCCGTGTATGTTATTTATGTAAGTACATATATGTAAAAATACATACTGTGTTTTATACACAGTGCTGTTCAAAAATCAGAGACCACATTTCATTTCCAGTCAAACCTGCCATTCAGCATTAGTTGCCCATTTTTCAGCGACAGGAAAAAAGCAGAAAACGTCTAAATATTACATCATTTTTTTCCAGTTTTGTGTTCTCACCCTTTTTTTTACTATTAAGTCCAGCTTTATTACAGCCTCCACTCTTTTCAGGAGACTTGATTTCAGTTTTCCAATAAATCTGCAGGGATATGTTTCCACACCCTCAAAATTTAGTCTTAGAGGTTGGTTGCATTTTCTGCTTATGGCCTAGGTAACAATTTTAGACTCATCAGTCTGGATACCATATTTCACATTTCAGATGTGCAAATCTTCTTTTAAGTCTATTTCCTTTTCTCAGTGAGGTTCTTCTTGACAGCTATACATCCTTTCAGACCCATAGCGCTGAGCTGTCTTCCCACAGTGGAAGGATGGACAGAAACATCTGAAGCATTTTTCTGATCTGAAGCAAAAGTGGAGCTTGAATTTCTCTCTCTGTTTGGCTGATAGTGACAGTTTTGGTGGTCTACCAGCTCTTACATGGTTGTACAACCAGATTTTAAATCTGATCTCCTCAGAAATATCTACTTTAGCCGTTTTAGATGCTTATGAGAAAGAAATGTGCAAGACAGCTAAAGTGGGTTCACTCTACAGTGCCACTTTTATTGTTTTCCATGGCTTAGAATAATAATGAAGATGCTAATTTTGCATTTTGAATGTTTCAGTAACCCAAAAAGTGTTTTAGATTCTTCTAGGTAGACTCCCACCCTTTGTCTTGAGGCACTTTTACACACTTTTGGCATTCTCTCAAGCAGCTTCTTGAGGAGCCACTTGGTGTGCTTATTTTCCAGCAAGCTTCAAGAAAAGTCAATTGCCTTGAAAAAACAGCCTTTAAATATATATAGATATATTTTTTACATTTGAAATCCACGCATTTGAGCGTAATGCCTTTAGATGGCTTTAAGATTACGGTAGTACCCAGTAAAAGAAACATTGGCCTCTTTTTCACTGTGGAGCCAAACGGTTCTCAGGGCCGTAACGGGCCGTTCCGGTTACGCAAAGCAGGGTACAGCTCAAAGTACCACAGAACTGTTCTAATTTTATCTTTCTGTCACTTCAACACCAGACATTCGAATTTGTGATGTCAGATGCGAGTCTTTATCCTCTAAACGGGTGTTTTTATTCATCGGTTTGCTAGAACCGAGCCTGTGCAGCTGTGGTAGGCACCATACACTCATGTTACCTTAGCCTAGCAGGCTACAGCTTTAAGCACTACAGAACAGGTTTGATTTCGGCTTTCTGTCACTCCAACACTGATTGGTCGGCTTTACTCTCGCTGTTTTACATTTTGACTGTCTATATTTGTTACAGGAGGGCAGTTAATCGAATCAAACCTGCACTGGGGTGTTTGGACCTCTTTAGCTAAGCTAGCTAGGAGAGAAGAGCAACCTAGCATTAGCTTAGGCACCAGAGAACAGGTTTAATTTTGACTTTCTGTTTTTCTAACATCAGCTGCTCGACTTCGCTTCCTCAGATTATCATTATCATCTAAATTTGTCCTAGTAAAGCTTTTGTTAGTCAGAATTGAACCTGTTCTGTGGTGAGCTAAGGTGGCAGCATACTAGCTAAGCTAACGCTAACCAGCTACTCCCTCCTGGTTAGCAGCACATTATAAAATATAGAAATTGGTTTTAGATCGGCCAATGGCTACAGCATTATGTCATCCCATGAACGGTTCTGTGGCCCCAAGTGCAGTTCGTGCTGAAAAAACATGGACTGAGCCCGATCCGTGTCGAACCATGTCCATGTGGAAAAGCCACAGGACCAGTTACACTCCATGCTCAGAACAATTCAGCCCTGCAGTGGAAAAGGGGCCATTCGGTCAGTTGTTTCCAGACATTTGACTGGTCCTGCACGTTTACAGAGCGCTGACCTAACCTCTGTTCTCCGCGTCCTCAGGGGAAGAACGCGTCTGATTTGTCCAGCGCTGAAGTCTTGTCTCTGGGTCCTCTGGTGTGTGAGCTGGATCCTGCATGGATGTCGTCTCTGAACCCTGCAGCTCTGAATGCCACTCTGCAGGCCCTGGCCTCCTGTGAACACATTCCCCGCCTCTACAGAGCTCCTCTGTTCACGCTCATCACACGTGTTTATGGGTAATGTAGTCCCTTTACAGACAACACTGTCACCCGTTCTGCATTCACACCATCCAGTGCTGAAGAGCCTTGAGCTCACACCCACACATTGAGACTAGGCAGCGTTTCGGAGTTTTAGACCACAGTGTTATTCAAAATATCTGCAGAACAGTTAACACTATTGAACTGAGCATCTCGCCTGATCTGTTCTGAGAATTTGGTGACGACCCCTAAAACTCTTTTAAATCTGCCACCAGAGGAGTTACAGCTAATGCACATCCATTTCCTGCCACAGTGAAACAGATTGATGTGTAAAAATAATGGAGGAGGGAAATATCCACGATTTTGCATCAGCATTAAAAGCTCAGTATTTGCTGAACTGTTAAATTAGCTCTGATAAGAAGTTGCTAGCCTACGTTTGAGCTTAAGTACGGCTGGTGCAACAGGCCCCAGGGAATTACATCTGTTTGTAGTAACAAAAACATGGCTTAATAGGTTATCAGTGCAGCTAACTGCTGTTTGTTTGGCTGTTGTTCATATGAATCACACTTCCCTAGGCACCGATATTACAGCAGAGGGGGCGCTCAAGAGCAATGAAACTCACCGAACGTAAACCGACCCATTTTCTATTCGCCAAAATTTTGAAGAAAAGTCATTTAATACACAATTATTATACACACTAAGGGCAAATCTGTGCAAAACCTTTGAAAGTTCATTTTAGCCTTACGGCAGCTGATGAACGGTATAGCACACGTGGCTTATAATGTAATCCCTGTCATAAGTACAGGATATTATGACCTGAGGTTGACTTTATGAAGCTTTTTTTATATTCATTTTGTTATCGCTGTGTCTTTTGAAACAGGGCCCCATCCATTTGGACAGAAGATGTCATGAAATTAATGGGACCCCTCCTCTTACTAAATGATACTTCGCTTGAGGTGATGCCTTTCAAGGTGAGTAAGAGATCTTTATTCTCCCTGCCTTATTCAGTCGATTGAGAGTCCAATCCCGTGTAAACAAGGAAAAGTACCCTTATAGAAAATGAGGCAATATGCCTTTATAGGAATTGGCAACAAAATAGCTGTTCATTTAATAATATCATTTTCTTCTATACTTGCAACCCTGTCGTTTTCATTCTCTCTTCTTTATTATTGACCTACATTGCTATTGAAAAATTTAGACTCACTTGTCATGTTAATCATTTTTATTTTAGATACAGTAATAACGTACAGTGTTAACCCTCTGGGGTCTGAGGGCGTTTTTTCAATTTGTGTATATCTTCTTAAATTCACCTTTAAAGGCTCTTGCAAATAACAATGATGCCCATATGTTTCATATCAAAATGTTCCGTTATCTTCATCACTACTTTCCAAAGCTGCTGTAGCAACTTCAGCAGCTGTAAACTCTGCATGACGTTTCACATCTGTCTCCGATAAAGAATAAAGGGCGTCCGGTGTGATGGCCGGTCCTGATTGATTTCCTGAGTGTCCACTGGTCAGTTAATGCAAAATGTAGACGGACACACAAATCCACCAATTACCCACGGTGAGAGGCGGATGACATGTATCTACACAGCCTCATAACTCCAGATGTGAGTCATGTATGATCTCGTGAAAAGATGGAATGGAAAGGGCTGTATTATAACAAAGATAGAGAAACAGATATAGAAACCTCCAATGTGATGCAAGGGCGGGTTTGTGGACCCCAGAGGGTTAAATATTATAAAATGGACACCAATTTGACCACCACTTTTGAAATATAAGCCACAGGTATAATATAATATAATGCAATACTGTAATTCATCCATGCATTCATGATATACAGCTATATCAGTTCATTTTTCTTCATACATCCATCGAGTCACACAGGGACAAATTTCTTAATTTTTTTATGGTTTTGTACTAATTATTTTAAACCAGTGAAGTTCCACAGCACTAGCATATTAGAATCACTGATACATTTATCTGCAACAGAGTGGTTTATAATATAATTGGTTGTGTATTACCAAAAAAATCATTGCACACTCTTAAATGGTGATTCCAAACTTCTGAATGATAATAAACGTCCACTCCTTCCACTCTCGTCCACAGAGCTGGCTGAAGTCGTCTCTGTCCGATCTGCTGGGCAGCTTGCAGCCTCAAACCGCCGCCCCGCATCCAGAGGAGTTCCGCTCATGGCCTGATCTGCTGGCTCTGCGCCGCAAACTTTTCCAGCTCAAAACAAACCCCATCCTGCAGCGCCGCAGGAGAGAGAGTGAGTTTACAGAACCACAGATACGACAAGAAAAAATCAATTTATTTAAATACAAAACTGCTCTTGAAAAGCATCAGAACAGTGGTCAACACATAAGCCTGGATTACAAATGAATATGAGGCAAACGTTAAGAATTCCCACGATTATTCTTGAGTATTTCAGAGGTGGAGCAGTCAAAAGTTTGGATACCTGTCTGTTTTTTTTTTAATTTTTGGTCATTTTTTCCACATTTTAGAATAACAGGAAACATATCTCTGGAATTTCTCCAATCGGAAATATTGGTCTTTTGTTAGGTAGTGCTATTTAGATTCATTTAGATTACACTTCTTCATTTTAATTTACATTTACATTAGGTCAGGGGTCAGCAACCCAGGGGTCAGTCGCAACTTTTTAGTGTTTGACAGTGCCTCATTGCAGATTAAATGTATCAGGAAACCAGCTGGAGTGATTATAAATGCAAGTCCATTCGTCTTCAAATTATCTGTGGTCATCTTAAATCTTTCTCTTTGCCTTTTTGTTGGCTAGGGGAGACTTGTCTGCGTTGCTATGGTGACCAGTCGTCTGCTCGCCAATTCTCACGGTCGGTGAAATAGCAGTTATAGGCTACTTTAACTCCAGCGTTTAAGACCGTTTATTGGCAAAACTGTGTTTGAGCGATCAGCAGAGCTTTATTGTACTGTAGTATTTATTTTTTTTATTTTATAGTTTATAAAAGAAAATATACCTGCTGACAACCCCTGCATTAGGCTAACGTATTAGAATCATTCCATACTTTGAACAGTGATTCTTTTGAACATTGGTGTACATAATGTATTCAAGCTCAATATAATCAAATCATTTTGAAAAATTTGTTATAAATTGAAAATTCTTATTTTTTCCATAGTAATATTAAATGTATGAATGTCCAGGTCAGCAGCGGTGAAGAGCATTTATAAAGTGGTCTAAATGTCTACAGTCTGGAGCTGATTTAAGGTGGAAAAAACTTGTAATATCTTCAGTGTTTCTACTTTGTTTGAACCGGTCGTCATTTTCATTTAAACACCAGCACGTAAAATGTGAGCGCACGCCATTTCATGTGTCTCCAACATTGACTGAATGAAGAATAAAGGGTGTCCAGCGTGATGGGTCAGTCTTTAATTATTTCCTGAGTGTCCACTGGTCAGTTTCACACAAAATGAAGAATCTACTATTTACACATGGTTACTATACGGCTATTCCAGCCTGTTTTTCTGCTGTTTGGCACAAGTGACATGCTGCCAAAACCATGTGCAAAATACACTCCTGCCATGTTTTTCACCTGCAACTGGACGAAAATGAAACTATCAAACTGCTAACTATTCTATTTTACCATCCGTGCAGCTTCTAATTTTAAACCGGTGTGTTCGAGGCTCACATTAGATCAGTATACTATAAGACATTCATTTTGAAACTGATGAAATTGGTATTTTTGCATCAATAGTCCTCAAAAAATAATGGATGTAATATTTCATGCACATATAAAAGATTTTACTGCAGAATAATAACAGCATCATAAATAAGTATTAAACATGCTTTAAAACTCTCAGTTAGGAAAAGTGAGCCAAATAGCAAATCATAGTCCAGAATGTCACATTATGCACATACTAAACCCCTAATAAAGTCTAAGATGGTTCCTAAAAACAGGGGCCAGATTCACGAAAGCTTTCTTAAGAAAAAACCTGCGAAGATTCTTAAAACAAACACTAAGAAGGTCATAAGAATGTTCTTGAATGCAATACTCAAAAAAAAAATCTTAATAAGTTCTTAAATATTCTCTTAAATTTAATTATTTTCTTAAGATTTTCTGAAGTAAATCTTCGTTATTTTCTTATTTAGGCTACATTGCATTTTTCCACGTACCATAAACGAAGCAAGATACATTTTGAATTTGTATTCTGTTATTTTCATTATTTAGTTTAATCCGCCAAGAGGAGAAAAACATCAAACCAAGTGTGTAAAAAATAACAAAACAAAAATTAGAGGAGATGGAAAAAACTGAACTGAAAAAAAATTCTCTTTGGAAAATATGATAATTGTGTTGTAATGGACGAGGATGAACAGGAGCAGCAGAGGCAGCATCTGTGATAAATTCAGAAGCAGACCTGGTCAACTCTTACAGCCGAAGACGAGTGTGAGTCTGTCATAAGGTTAAGAAAACATTTAAGAACATAATATTACCACTTGTTCTTAGAATTATTCTTATGAAAATAGCTACAAAAAGAAAACAAGATCATTCTTACCAAGTTATTTGAAGAGAAGTTAAGAAAAAACACACATTTAAGAAGATTTTCCTTCGTAAGATGCTTTTGTGAATCTGGTCCCAGATTATTTTGTATAGTAAGCTAGATTAAAACAGTCTACCAACCAAAACTATCCAATGGACAGTGGTCCTGTGATCAGACACTGACCACTAAAGACTCAGAAGACCTTGTAAGGATCAATCAATCTCAAAGCGTGTATCCTTTCTTTTTCAGCCGATTATCATGAATAAAATAGAAATGAATACAAGCCATACTTGAGTTTGTGCATGCGGTCCCACTTCATGTTAAGTGTCTCTAATAACTGTGTAGTTACATGTCAACAACATATGCAACAACATTGTAACTACTAATAAATTAGTCACTGTTATAGATGGATTACAGAAGTAAAGCTTATGTAATTACACATGTGTATCAACTTCAGTTTTGCCTCATGTGATTACACAAGTGTATGTTAATAGTTGTAACAGCCCTTTTCTCTCTCATGTAATCACAGAAGGGTTATAACAAATGTAATTACCTTTGTAATCAGACTGGAACAGCAGTTTTTTTTCAGAAGTCTTTTCCAGCAGTAAAAGGAAGTATGTTATAACTTACATTAAGACATTACTTACACCGTATCTGTCAGCTTCTCTAACATTCAGCTAGCATTTTTTGTTAAAACTGTTGATACACGTGTAATTACATGGGCTGTAGTTCTATAATCCATCTGTAACATTGACTGAATCATTAGTAGTTACACTGTTGTTGCATATATTATTCATGTGTAACTATACAGTAATTAGAGACAATATAAAGTGGGACCGTGCATGCTGTTATTCTTTGGAAATTGTATTATTTTTGCCATATTGAATTTGATTGTAGAAACTGTGCAGCAACCTTGCACAAGTACACTGCCTTTAACCCACACAAGAGCAGACTATTAGTAGTGTTACAGTATAGAGCCTTATATGTGCAAATTTGGCCAATTCAAATCACAATTCACTAACAATAACACTGTTTACTACATTTTAACTTTGTTTTGTTCCACTCTGGGTGAGTAAAGTGATTCTATTCCTAATTTTGTGTAAAAATATTAGGGTTTTGTTTCCTGTTTTCCGATCCCTGACCTGCAGTAATTAGAGGTATAGTGTAAAAGTTAGAATATGCTTTGCATTAAATAAGTCTATAGTCATCTGAAATCAACACAACAGATATAATAACACAAATGTCTGCCTCTCTTTTCTTCCTTTTTTTTGTTTTGTGTAGTTTCTCCATCAGTGGTGCCTTCTGTGTCAGTCATGGAGGATCTGGGAGAGGGCAACGTTTACTGGAGTCCAGCCCAGCTGGCTAATATGTCTGCCCAGACGTTCAGAGAGGCCGTGCCTGTGCTGGGAGAGATACGCAACTTTACTGCAGAGCACCTGGCAGTGCTCCGCGAGAAGGCTATAGAGGTATGAACAGCTTCTTAGTGAGAGAGAACTGACTGGTCAGTTAGAATAGTGCCAGTAAATCTAAAGTTTTTGTTATTTTATTCTGTAATAACTATGATAGCATATATTTAAATGTTGGAAATTAGACCCTTAAAAGTATTTCTATTCTAAAGTTAGTAAATGAGTGCGTTTACATGCACTTAAAAATCCGATAACTGCAGAAAATCAGATTTTGTCAGTAATCCGACCAACGCGTTTACATGCACTTGAGTAATCAGATAATGGGGAAACTCCAGGTCTACATGAGTCAGACAATAATCGGATTTCTGCTTTGCAACCAGCCAATAAACTCACAGAAGAAGACGTGATGTAAACGTAACGTAAAACTCAAACTTCTTGCTGCCTCTTTTTTATTAAAAAAAAACAACGCCACATGAAAATACGAACATCATCTAGAAGATGAAGAATATTTAAGTTCTTCATTTCATCAAGCGTGTAGTCGGTTTCAGTGTCTCTCCAAAAGCGTTTTGCTGCATCTCTTTGCTTTCTTTCGGATTTCTCAGTCTGTGCATGTGCGAAAACAGCTGCTCTCTTATTTCTGGTGCCGCGGTCTGTTTTCGCACATGCACAGACTGAGAAATACGAAAGAAATCAGAGTAAGAGTTCACATGCACTGAGAAATCTGATTACAGAGCTAAAATCCAGCTCTCTTTATCAGATTTCTTAATCAGACTTCTAGACCTCACTCCGATCCTAGCAACCGTAGTGTGCCGTTCACATGACCATTTGAATATTCATATAATTGGATTGAATAATCGGATTATTGAGTGCATGTTAACGCACTCAATGATTAATAATGTAGCATAATTAGCTATTTATAATAATTTTGTGTTGTTATATGCCTTGAAATGTAATCATCCCAATACATTGTTTCTCTGATTGTTAATGAATTCTGCATAATTCAACCAAAACAAAGTCATTCAGAGTGGTTTGTTGTGAAATGTTACATACAGACTCAGATGTCTTTACAGTGTTGCTGATAGGAACCAGGGGTCACAATGTCTACAATGCAAATATAGACATTTTATTTACTGTCCAAAACCACCAGTGACCCTACACGAGTCTTCTGAGTTTCATATGCAATGTTGATGATGGTAAAATAGTGATAAAACTGAAACAAATAGTTTTTTGTTGGGGTCTGTTTTGCCTCAGTGCCCTACATGCACATGCATTTTAAAAAATATTAAATATTAAAGTTAGAACTTTATCTTTAAACTTTCGTCCAACTATTCTTTAGAATGGTGCATTTCACATCAAACCACACTGAATAAAACCCCTTTAATTTTATCATAACTTGACACATCTAAATTTTGTTTATCAGCTTGCTACAATTTATTTAAAACACATTACTAGCATTTTATTACATCTTGTAATTAAATTGGTTTTATAATAATAAAAACAGTGATTCCAAACTTTTGAACAGTATTGTAAGTTCATGTATTAGATGTGTTTAAAATGTGTAACAGGTATTTCAAAGTACAGTTCATGTATACATGTCTATATTACATCAAACTCAGTGTTTCCTCATGGTGGGACGTCTCTGTGTTGTGTCATAGGCATTGGGTGATGCATCAATGCTGAATCAGACTCAGATTGTGGAGCTGGGCTGTATCTGTCAGGGTTTTAACACTAAAGATCTCCAAAAGCTCAATATCACCTCACTGGACACATTGGAGCTTCTGTCCATCTGCAACTGGAACTATACACAGGTAACACAGTCTTGAGTTGTAAACTTGTGGCTGGTACTGAACATAGCATTGTGCTCCTGGGAGTAGACTTAAGCACCAAGTGGATTCACAACTACATGCATACACATGTCTGTCCAGTATTTCTTCTGAAATCATTTATAGGGAGTACCCCCTCCACCCCAAAAGGTCATCCCAAAAATGTTCATCATTCCACCTCATCCCAAAGGTGTTCAGTAGATTAAGGGTGCTTTCACACCTTGTTTGGTCCAGACCTTTGGACTTCTCAGTTTGGTCCAAACCAATATAACAGGTGTGAAAGGTGCCTCGGACCGTGGTCCGGACCAAATGATTGAAATTTGGTTTGCCCAAAAGAGGTGGTCTCGGTCCGGACCATGGTTCTCAAAAACATAAACCTTGGTTCGGATTTTGGTTCGAAACTTTAAAGTGTGAAAACGCCCCGACACTCCAGCTTATCCCAAATGTGTTCAATAGCATTACGTCAGTTCTACTCATCCCAAAGGTGTTCAGTGTTTTTTCACTGAACTTTGTTTCACCAAGGAAGAGTGTCATTACTGTAACTCATCCCTGATGTGTTCAGAGGAGCTTCATCACTCCAACTCATCCCAAAAAAGGCCTTTAGAGGAGCTTCATCACTGCAACTAATCCCAAAGGTGTTTAGAGGAGCTTTATCACTCCAACTCATCCCAGTGGTGTTTGGAAGAACTTCATCACTCCATTTCATCAAATAGGTGTTTAGAGGAGCCTCATCACTCCAACTCATCCCAAAGGTGTTTGGAGGAGCGTCGTCTTTTTCACTTATCCCAAAGGTGTTTAGAGAAGCTTCATCACTCCAACTCATTCCAAAGGTGTTTGGAGGAGTGTCATCTTTTGTCACTCCTCCCAAAGGTGTTTAGAGAAGCTTCATCACTCCAACTAATCCCAAAGGTGTTTAGAAGAGCTTAATCACTCCAACTCATCCCAGTGTTCAGTGGAGCTTCATCACTCCAACTCATCCCAAAGGTGTATAGAGGAGCTTCATCACTCCAACTCATCCCAAAGGTGTATAGAGGAGCGTAATCGTTTTCACTCATCCCAAAGGTGTTTAGAGAAGCTTCATCACTCCAACTTATCCCAATGGTTTTTAGAGGAGCTTCATCACTCCAACTCATCCCAAAGGTCTTTAGAGGAGCTTCATCACTGCAACTGATCCCAAAGATGTTTAGAGGAGCGTAATCTTTTTCACTCATTCCAAAGGTGTTTAGAGAAGCTTCGTCACTCCAGCTTATCCCGATGGTTTTTAGAGGAGCTTCATCACTCCAACTCATCCCAAAGGTGTTTAGTGGTGCTTCATCACTCCAACTCATCCCAAAGATGTTTAGAGGGGCTTCATCACTGCAACTGATCCCAAAGGTGTTTAGAGGAGCTTCATCACTCCAACTCATCCTAGTGTTCAGTGGAGCTTTATCACTCCAACTCATCCCAAATCTACTGCCAGTGCTTTTCTATGGAGATTACACAGATGTAAAAACACATTTTAGCACGACTATCAGTAATGAATGTGCTTTAAAGTCGCCGATTCCACTAATGAGATGGTGCATCTTGACCCTTTTCTTATATTTATGTGTTTATATAGTGAACATACATTTACATGCATGTGCATATGTGTATTTCAAGACTGTAACTAACAGTAATAGCTAATATGAATGTTGATTGTGTTTTTCATGCAGAAAGTTGCCATCTGGCAGGGTTTTATTGAGAGAACTGGAATAAAAATGGCTAAACTTGGAGCACTGGAGATGACGGGTCTGGGCAACTTTATCTGTGGACTGCAGCCTGACCAGATCGATCAGCTCAGTACTGCAGAATTCAAGTAAGTCATGCTTCCCGACACACACGCATACAAACACACCAGTACTTTCTTTGGTTGTGACTCAAGAGTCCTGTACACTAATATGTAGGCATGTTTTGCTGTGTTTGGGTGAATCAGGGAGGCGGTGGAGGACATAGGCCACGCCAAATGTCCTGTGACGGTTCTGGAATGCCTGAAGAGAAAAGCCATCTCTGCATTTGGTGATCCAAAAAACTGGGGTGAAGCTGAAGCCAGCATGATGGGCAACATAATTGGTACATAACTGTATAGAAAACTGAGTCTGATGCTTTAATGTTGTCCATACTTTTGTCTAAAACTAGAAGATATTGTGACTACACTCCGGCCCTGATTCACTAAGAGTGAAAAGGGAGTGATATAAACAAGCTACGTATTTTTTCTTGCATTCTGAACCTTTAGGTTACTTTGTAAAATGTGTTTCTTACTTCTTAACAGTTTCCTCCACTGAACTCTGGGATGTTGAGTATGATTGGAGTAAGGCATTACAGTATAATACTTTATATTTACTACATACTACAGGATGTAATGTTTAGATTTTTGGTAACACTTTACTGTAGGGTGCTGGTCATAAGGCTTCATGACACCTACATAAGCTTGTCATGACAACTGACATAACCATACATAAATGGTATATTAATGCTTATTCTAATAGGCGTTATTCGCTATGAAGGCTACATTTGGTAGTTTTGATCAAAATCTGCTAAAGTAGTCTTTATGACAGATGACGCCTATTGAAATAAGCATTTATAGGCATTTATGTAGGGTTATGTCAGTTGTCATGACTGGCTTATGTAGGTGTCATGTAGCCTTATAAACAGCATCCTACAGTAAAGTGTTACCAGATTTTTTTCAAAATGATCATTCTAAACCAAAAACATAAACCATATTAGATATATATATATATATATATACATATTATAGACATTAAAAATACAGTGACAGCAGCCATGATGTGAAACGCTCTGAAGATTAATATCTGCCCCTAAGTTAGCGTTGCCACCTTAGCCCTGTAAAACTCCTGGACACTCGAACAGTGGCTTGATTTTTCATTAAATTCAGTGGATGGGTAGCTATGCTCACAATGCAGTCTGAGGCAGACAGACGTCCGTTCAGCTAAAGAGCCTAATCTTCTCAGTTGTCACATTTAAGTGCTTCCTAGTGCCTAAACTTCACCAACAGTGCACCTTTTCCAATAATTGTTCCTACATTGAGGGTAACCTGAATGAATCAAACCCCATATTTGTATACAAACGGTTTGACTGGACAAAAAGAAGTAAGAAATAACATTTCGTCGCTGTCCAAAGAAAAACATGTATATCCATTTTTGTCTGTTTTTATTTTTCTACATCATTTGAGCTGCCCTTTGCATTGTGTGATCATTTCATGATTAATAGACCAATAGAAATGCTCCAAAATCACTTTAAGTAAAACCTCTTTTCATTAACTTACAATGAGATTAAAGAACGTTTTTGTCCTTTCCTGTCAAAATACAACTTTGGAGTTTTTTGTTTTGCTTTGAACCACGACGATATGAAATTCTTGGATTCCTGGACATTTTGTGGAATTATTTGGTGCCTGGACAGACAACCATACACCTGGACAACCCTACCCTCAGAAGTATTAATTTACACACAAATGCCACCTTTAAAAATGAAAGTTAAGACTTGGAAAATCACAAAGCATGTGCTACATTCATCTATTTGCATTGACCCGTGTTTTGCACCCACTTGCATATTCATTAAGGCAAACATGCAAAACGATTACCGTCACTTTAATTGAATAGGAGGAGACTTAGTTCTCTACTTGTACAGCAATTGAAACAGTAAATGCACCAAATTAAATTCATTACTTTTGAGTGATCACATGTGTTTTTCTGTCTGTAGCTGGTCTGAATGGCACCGAGCTGGCAAGTCTGAACTCCTCCGTCCTGCCATTCATCCGCCAGTCTGCCATCCCTCTCATTCTTCCTGAACGTCTGGCTGTGAGTCGCTCTTTCTCTGACCTCTCTCTTTGTTTGCCACTGTGATGTTTCCGTCAATGAAACCGTCTCCTACAATCTCTGTTTTTTAATCAGACAATGTCAGTGAACCAGCTGAAATCTTTGGGCCCTGACAACGCCGCCATGGTAACAGAGACCCAGCGGTCAGGGCTGGGAGTGGAGCAGAGGGCGGCTGTGAACGAATCTTTGGGACTGCCTACATCTCGCAGTGAAACCAGCACAAGTGCCCCTGTAGCAGTGCCACAAAAAGGAGGTGTGTATTCTCCAGCTAAAGGAAGACAGACCACACTCACTTCTTCATAAGCCCAAAAACAGTTTACAAATCAAAATGGATGTGGGGTTGAGGATGTAAATATGTACATAAAAACACAGTATATGTACAAACCTCAATTCACAGTTTGTGGAATACAAACAAGAACAGAAAGCAGTGATTTGTAAATGTGTTTTCACCTGTACTGTACTTATGTAAATATACACTAAACATTTTGTCACACTGAATGTTTCAAATCATCAAACTCCTTTTAATAGTAGGCAAAGATAACCCAAGTAAACACACAATGTTTTTTTAAATAACAATTTCATTTATTGATGGAAAATGCTGTTCAGCCTACCTGGCCGTATGTGAAAGTTAGTGCCCCCTTAGCTAATAAATCAACCAGTTAACCAAATTTAATTGACTACTGGGTTCAATTTCACTGGCCACACCCAGGCTTATTACTGCCAGACCTGCTGAATCTAAACATCACTTAAATAGACCCTGTCTGGCAATGTGAAGCAGCTAGAAGGTCTCAAAAAGCAGCAATGATGTCACGTTCTAAAGAAATTCAAATACAGATGCAAAACAATGTCATTAAAATCTACCGTCTGGAAAGGGTTATAAAGCCATTGCTGAGGCTCTGGGACTCCAGCGAATCACAGTGAGAGCCGTAATCCACAAACAGATAAAACTTGTAACAGTGGTGAACCTTCCCAGGAGTGGCCGGCCTACTAAAATTTTACCAAGAGTTCCTTGACGACTCATCCAGGAAGTCACAAAAGAACCCAGAAGAACATCTAAAGAACTGCAGGCCTCAGTTAGGGTCAATGTACATGATTCCACAATAAGAAAAACACTGGGCAATAATGGCTTCCATGGAGGAATCGCAAGGCACAAACTACTGCTGACCAAAAAGAACACAAAGGCTTGTCTTGCATTTGCCAAAACAACATCTACATGACTTTTAAGACTTTTTGGATAATACTCTGTGGACTGATGAGTCAAAGGTGGAACCCTTTGGAACACATGGGTCCAGTTACATCTGACGTAAAGCTCATTCCATCATAAGAACATCATACCAACAGTGAAACGTGGTGGTAGTATGAAGGTCTGGGGCTGCTTTGCTTCTGCAGGACCTGGACGACTTGTCATAATTGATGGAACCATGAATTCTGCTCTCTATCTCCTGAAGGAGAATGTCCGCTTGTCAGTTTGTGACCTAAAGCCCAAGCGCAGTTGGGTCCAACTCCAGCAGCACTGCTGTGTCTGATCCACTCGTACCAGCGCAACAAACGCTAACACACCATAACCATGTCAGTGTTACTGCAGCGCTGAGAATGGTCCACCACCCAAATAGTACCTGCTCTGTGAGGGTCCATGGGGGTCCTGACCACTGAAGAACAGGGTAAAAGGGGGCTAACAAAGTATGCAGAGAAACAGATGGACTACAGTCTGATTTAGGGACAGAAGGAAAAGTTCGTTTGTGAGGAGGTTACTTTCTGTAAGGGACATAAAAATGTCACATTGACAGCCTGATTCTCACAATTTTACCGTGACAGTTTTTGTGCATGTTTATGAAGATGTTTTCCACTCAGTCACACTGTCTAACCTGCCACGTCTCTCTCGTTCCTGTCTTGTTTAGGTGCACCACAACAGAGCGTGTTGGGAATTGCAGTGCTTCCTGTTGTGCTGCTGTTGCTGGGATTTCTTCTCTGAGGAGAACAAGGCTGAAAAGCTCCCTGGGAATATTTATATCGGAATTAGCCACTGCCATAGACCTCACTGCTAATGTAATACTAAATAATAAATGTGACAGATTATTTGCAAATAATTTAAAATGTAAAAGCACATGAGTAAATATATTTATATTTTTAAGAGCAGCAGAGAAAACACTATTATTCCTAATTGTGTGTGTGTTTGAGGTGCAGTTAGAGCACCTTCAGTGAAGTGCCTATGAAAAGCAAATTTAATACTGCTTGTGAAAATAGATGATAATTTCTAAGACCTGCGATGGAAGCATGAGAGAGATTTGAATCTATTCAAACAAGAAGAAATAAAGAAATGCTTGACTGAACAAACTGGGCTGGTTAAAGTCAATTCTCCAGTTGAAGTCAGCGTTACGCACAGGAAATCTGTCTGATGCATTCAGGCGGTGCTCGTAAACTCATGAATTTCTAAATTCGCCACAAGGTAGCTGCACTCAAGTTTCATGTTACCCGAGTTTGATGCATCAACAGTCAGATCAGTTTCTGATGCTACATGAACACAACAGACCAGGCCGAAACGTCAACCATCAGTACACTTTACTGATCTTTAAAACCTCTTATTCTCCGGGGTATATTTTGTTTTTTCCATCTGAATTTACATGACCAAATCGTAAGGCAAATTATTCAGTAACTGCATGAAATAAATGTAAATTTTTATTCATTTATTTTTTGTAAAAGCTCCCCTCAAATTAACAGAACATGTGTTTTATGATCTACACATATTGCTATATGCTTACAATTTACTGCTGAAAGCCAAAAATCTTAGACGCTCTTTATATTATTTTATAAAAGTAATTTTTACAGAGCAGATCACTGAAGAGACGCCGTCTGTTTATAGTTTATAGCCCAGATTTGTGGAAAAATGGGTCGACTTTCAGTAGAAAAAAAATGTTCAGAGTTCAGCTTCTTTTATTATAAGGGTTTAAAATTACATCACCCATCTATCTGACTGGAAAGAAGACAGTTACAGCTCTCATACGACCCCCACCTTTAGAATGTAGCTTATGAAATATGAAAGTAATGAAAAACATGAAGTCCATTTTGGAACCACCGGTGGTCTCAAGGAGTTAAAAGGTTAAGATTTTTAGATTGTTTCAGAAAATGTGTAGTAAAAAGCCGTTTTAGAGTCACCATCAAACTCTTTCTGTGGAGAAAACCTGGAGAAGAATTCCAACCAGATGCCACTAAGGATACTGTAAAGCGCTGAGGTGGAAACACAAATAAACTGTCAAGAAACAAAGCTGTTTTAAGGATGTATTTATGGTGACTATTCACCTAAAGTTTGTTAGCTACATTAGCCTCTTAGCTCCGGTGCTAAACTATTTGGACACTAAACTTCTTAGTTGATCACCTACATATGGGAAGAAAATTGTGTAAATTTGATTTTTACACCATTCATTTAATTTAATAGTCATGTTAAGACAGTAAAGCGAAACAACAATAAAGGTACCGAGATAAAGTTTTTATATTTCCAAAATTCACCTATTTGAATGTAGAACATGAAAATCTTTGGGAACAGACCAGCCTGTATTTTTCCTACTTTTCTCCTCCTTATCCGCTTCATTTCAATCCAGATGGCACCAGAGAAACTGTATATTCAATGGCTGTTAAGTACAACAAATGCACATCGGTGAAGTCCATTTGGATTAGAACTGACACAAAGACAAAGGCAACCAGCTGAACAGTTCATAGAATTTGCCAAGACCATTACATATTTATTTTCTACTATAAAAGCCTCTAGATTGATTGATAAACACACAGAAATCATGATGTCCCAAGGCAGTTAGGGCAAAATCAGTACTAAATCAGCTTTTCCCTGTGCAGTCCTCAGATAACCAGGTAGTAGGACTGCACGATATATCGGTTTACAGTCATCACAATTTTGACCACGGTGATCACATTGCAAAGGGTTACGATATGCAAATGAGCCACCTGACAAATTACGGGTTTATCTGACTGTGCACTGAGTGTTTGTGGGTCTCCTGAGTGAATAAACGTAAACGAATTTGGTTAAAATAATGGTGTAGTGCACTAGGCAACAGAATAATTCTTATACAGTATTTGGTCCATATCGTGCAGTCCTACAAGGTATTCAGCGGAACAGAGTAAAAGAACAGACAGTCCAGCAGGACAGAGTGGGCATCACTGACCTGAACCAGTTTAACTTGACTGAACATTGAAATCAGAATCAATTTAAAATTCAGTAGGTTTTGATTATAGAACATTAAACAGACAGAGTTCTTCTAATAGTACAAAAGGCATCTGTGAGTTAACAGCTAAGGCTCAGTAAGTGCACTGGGGTAAGAGCTAAAGCATGTCTAACTGGTCATTCTCAAATGTCCAATACGCAGGGCCAGCGAGAATCATGAGGGTCAACCATGAGAAATTCTGGGCTCGATGTGGGTGGGAACAAACTGAGTGTGAAGTTTCAAAACCAATCAAATGCCTCGTAAATGTGGAGCTCAAAAGAGGGGGTGATGCTGTACTCCTCAACATTGGGTGTGTTTACATGCACTTAATAATCTGATCTTAATCAGATTTCGGCAGTTATCCGATTGTTCAAATGGTCATGTAAACAGCACACTCTGATTTCTTAGATCAGAGTAAGGTCTAGAAATCTGATTAAGAAATCCGATAAAGAGCTGGATTTTAGCTCTGTAATCAGATTTCTCAGTGCATGTGAACTCTTACTCTGATTTCTTTCGCATTTCTCAGTCTGCACATGTGCGAAAACAGGCGGCGGTACAGAGAAAAGCGAGCAGCGTTGCCGTGAGACGGCAGTTAAACACTTTTAGAGCGACGCTGAAACCAACTACATGCTTGACGAAATAAAGGAATTAAATATTCATCTTCTAGATGATGCATGTTCATATTTTCAGGTGAGGTGGCCTGACGTTGCGTCTTATTCTGTGAGATTACTGGCCGTTTGCAAAGCTGAAATCCAATTACTGTCTGACTCATACAGACCTGCAGAAGTGCATGTGAACGCCTTGATCAGATTACTGACGAAATGTGATTTATTGCAGTTAAAGGATTATTAAGTGCATGTAAACACACTCACTCTCAGATGGACAACAAGCTGACATTAGCTCATGGATGTCAGGTTAGCATGGCTGAAAATACCCCCCATAAACTCCCATAAGCACATGGAGGTAAGCCGTATGCGGAGAACACATGACATGTGGTACAAATAAACCACCTCTTTCAGAGGAAAAACAGTTCCGTTTGCTTATAACAGCGTTTGGATGGCTAGCTTGCTCTTTATCGACTGTACTCCAGATGTTTAAATAGCGCGGACTAAAGGAATTTGGGGTGGGTTTTAGAGTGGGTGTACCTTTGTTAGCAGCCACAATCCAGCACCAAAAGTTCAAGTTGTCCCCACATGTGTTTTCTCGCTACGAGATCATGTCTGGCCCTGCGAGACTAACCCATGATCCGCCTCCCACACCCTCCTACTGCCACCTTAAAAGCAGAAAAACACATCAGACGAAACAAGCATTGGTTAGAACTCTTGCTGCAAAGCCTTCAGACCTGGATAAGCTGAGCTACTATTGTTAGTCTGGACATGGAGTGTTTAAGGCACGTAAGAACACATATACAGTACAAAGCTGGCGCTGGCAAACAGACTTAAATTACACAATGTTCCTCTCACTTGATCAGCTGTGTCTGAAATTTCTTTCATTAGTTCTGCAAGAAGTAAATAGCTAATATAGCAAGAGAAGCTTGTATCCCCCCATTCAGCACTGTGTAAACTGCACAGCTACATCACTCGTCTCAAACAACAGTGTTATATAAAAACATGGGAAAAAGATGCTGCTTACTTAAAATTACCCTCTTAAAAAAGATGGTTCTTCAAGGGTTCTTTAGTAAAGAAAATGGTTCTGACTAGGACCATAAACACTCAAGAGCTCTTTGTATAATGAAAGGGTCCTGTGCATGATGAAAGGGTTCTTCAGACTGATGGAGAAGGTGCTTTAGATGGTTCTATATATAGGGTTCTATATAGCAGCCAAAAGGGTTCTTCTATTGCTACGACGTCAAGCTTGTAAGAATAGAAGAAGCCTTTTGGGTGCTATATAAAACCATTTTCAAAAAGGTTCTCTATAGAACCGTCTGCAGCACATTCGTGCACATTTTCCGACAAAGGACCCTTTAATCATGCAACGGGTTCTTTGAGTGTTCATGGTTCTATACGGAACCATTTTCTTTATTAAAGAACCATACATTCTTAAAAAAGATGGTGCTTTAAGGGTTCTTTAGTAAAGAAAATGGTTCTATATAAAACCATGAACACTCAACAAACCCTTTGCATAAAAAAAGGGCTCTTTGCATCATGAAAGTGTTCTTTGGATTGATGGAAAATGCGAATGAATATGCTATAGATGGTTCTATATAGAACCTTTTTGAAAAGGGTTCTATATAACACCCAAAAGGGTTCTTCTATTGTCACAAGCTTAATATCATAACAATAGAAGAACCCTTTTGGGTGCTATATAGAACCCCTTTCAAAAAGGTTATATATAGAACCATCTAAAGTACCTTCTCCATCAGTCTGAAGAGCAATTTCATGATGCAAAGAGCCCTTTAATCATGCAAAGGTTTCTTCGAGTGTTCATGGTTCTATGTAGAACCATTTTCTTTACTAAAGAACCATAGAAGAACCATCGGTTTTTAAGAGTGTAGCAGAACGTTGTCTTTACTATTGTCAGTTTTATAGTTCAGACAGTGTTATAAACCACATAATCAAGTCTGAATTTACTTCACAACTCAATGTGGACTGAGGCAGGCATGTGATAATTGAGGCATGCGCTTTACACTATGCTATCTGGTGGCCTATAAGCTTCTACTACTTGTTAGCTACATTAGCCTCGTAGCGACAGTGTACAGCTGAATGTCTTTGCGACTGCAGGCCTGCGCTGGTAACAGAACCCTCTTATTTGGGTAACCGAGTGGAAAATAACTGCAGTAAACAGTTTTTCCTTGTTCAGGGTTGGGTGACATTTCCTTATCTTTGCTGTACCTTTTGATTTTTTTTTATTTACACAGTGTTCACACCATTTCTGGTAACTTTGTGATGGTTCCTAGCACTGCCGCAGATAGGGAACACAGCAACGGCTTGAAAGTTGAGGTTTAATCGAGTAAAAGTTGTGGATGTAGTATGTGGTCATCTTTACTGTGGCCACAAAACTGTAATCTAGTAATGAAGAATGGTATCACGAACTTTACCGTTTTAAGACATCCATCTGTGGCTGCTCAACCTGATGCCTTTTTGTCTGATGTCCAGTTGTAAGACAGCAGACACCCCCCAACCCTCCTTGAATGGCTTTTTGCGGGGATGATATCTGCCTGCTAGTTTCTAGAACAAGGTTATCAACACTAAGTTCATGTGAACATTAGTGTCCTACTCTGATTTGCAAGATATCAATTAATAAATCAATATATTTTTTTTTTTTTAAACTAGTCGTAAATGTTAGTGTCACCATGGTAGGTCGGTTAACTGTCACCGAGCGCAGGCCTAAATGATTCTGCGTGAGAGAAAAATTGTGCAGCTTTAATTTTTTACCCCCAAACTATCGCTTTAAACACGAGCTCAGTAGGACTTCACATTTAAAACTACAGTATCAACGGCTTCTGTAATCCCTCCGATCCGTCTCAAGCCGGCTTGTCCGTTTTGTAGGCGGTGATGAAGGCCATGCCATGAGTTCTGAAGTGTGTGCTGAGGTCGGCGGCCTTGCTGAAATGACGTCCGCACACTTTGCAGATCAGCTTGCCTTCTCCTTCCTCCGCCTGAGACGGTGACCCTGGACAAGGGTCAGTGGGGGCAGGGCTCACATTACCGTGGTGATTGTCTCCGTGGCCCCTGGGCGTGCGAGCGTGCTTAGTTTCACGCATGCGGTGGCTGATGAAGTGATGGCGACTAAGTGAGGGGCTTGAGGCAAAACAAGCCCCGCATAGCTGACACTGAAAGGCTCCGCCTTCACCGCCACGGTGACTCTGGATGTGCTGTAGGAACTCCTCCTTATCCTCGCACACCAAGCCGCATGGCGTGCAGCGGAAACCATCCCCCTCCCGGCCCGGAACGGAACCTGCCCTGCCATTCCGGCGACCCTCGTCCTCTTCTGCAGAGCCTACGGTCACAGCGCTGAGGGCACTGTCCTGCTCGGATGAGCTGTCAGCAGGATCAGTCAAACGAGAACGCACCTGAGGAGAGGAAAAGAGTTTTTTTTAAAACACCTCAGTGTTGCTGCTGAACTGAGAACCAAAATCCAGCCAACAGCGTCCTGTGGGCAGCGTCTGGGACCACTGATGAAGGACTAGAGGATGACCAACACAAACTGTGCAGTAACAGATGAGCTACTGTCTCTGACCTTACATCTACGAGGTGGATTAACATGGTAGGAGTGTCTAAAAGAGTGGACAGTGAGTGGACAGAGCGTTTAAAAACTCCAGCAGCACTGATGTGTCTGATCACTCGTACCAGCGCAACACACACTAACACACCACCACCACGTCAGTGCCACTGCAGTGCTGAGAATGATCAACCACACAAATAATACCTGCACTGTGGTGGTCCTGTGGGACTATAAAGCGTAGCTGACTACAAACTAACATAACTGATAACTGATAAACTATGTAACTGTCAGCAATCTGTGAGTACAGACATCTTAAACCTGAGTAAGTTCATGTTTCGGGCCTTGGAAAAATAAAAATAAAAAAAAGAAAGAAAATAATGTGTCTGAGAGTGTGCCGGTGACCTGTGGTGTCCCCTAGGGTTCAATTCTTGGGCCACTCTTTTTTAATTTAGACATGCTTCCTCTTCGCCAGGTCCTACAAGACTATAGCATATCTTCCTAAAGCTATGCAGATGATGCTCAGATATACTTGGCCCTCTCCCCAAACAACTATGGTACCCTTGACTCACTTTGTAAGTGCTTTGAGCTCATCACTAACTGGATTGAAAAGAATTTTCTGCAGTCAAATAAAGATAAAACTGAGATTATTTTATTTGCGAATAGCAATGAGAGGCATAGACTAGCTGCCTCCCTGGATTTGAGAGCCCTAAAATCTAAATAACTAGTATGTAACCTTGGTGTACTAATGGACTCTGATCTTCGTTTTAGTCATGTCAGAACAGTTACTAAACCAGTTTTTATCACCTTAAAAACATCAACAAGATCAGAGATTCTCTGACTAAAGCAGACCTGGAGAAGCTCGTCCACGCCTTTATCTCTAGCGGGATTAATCACTGTAATGGTCTCCTAACTGGACTCCCAAAAAAGACAAACAGCTTCAGATGATTCAAAATGCAGCTGCCAGAGTCTCACTAGGAGTAAAAGAAGGGAACACATCACTCTCCTTCTTAAATCCTTACACTGGCTATCAGTAATTTTACTTGTCTTACCTATTACCTTTCTGTTTTACTTGTCTATAGATAGCTTAACGGTCCAGAACCAACGCATTTATCCGATATGCTGCAGCGATATGAGCCTAGCAGAACTCTTAGATCATTAGGAACAAGTCAACAGAAAGCATTAGAAGAGCCCCAACACTGGACACTTTTACATACGGGCTGAAAACTTTCCTATTTGAGAAGCTTTCAGCTCAGTTTAAAACACTTTTAGCTCTACTACAATTCTCTCCTAATGGCACTTTATTTTCATTAACTAAATTTTTAATTAGATTTTTAATTTAATGTTTAATTTCTTCTCTTTTAAATCTATTCTTTTAATTGTGTTTTTAATTTGCATTCCTTTAAATTTTTTTAAAATGTAAACTGAATTACCGTTGTATTCTCTTTGTAAAGCACTTTGAATGGCCGTAGTGTATGAAAGGTGCTATAGAAATAAACTTGCCTTGCCTTTGCCTTCATACACATGAAATTTGTGAATGCAAATGTGGGCAAGATGTGGGCAGGCTGCACCACAGTGTCTGACTGCATGTGAATACTACAGCAGGTGAAACGCAGAGATCCCAAAAATAATCTGATTATGAAAGTATATGAACCTATTCAGAATCTTTCAAGAGAGAATCGTGATTCCTGTAAAGAATCGATTATCTTCCTCCATCCACATTGGACAGTTAAACTTCAAAAAACTGGCATTATGCTTTGCTAAGTATATTTACAGTGTAATTTCCACCTTATACAGAAGTGTGCGGGGGGGGAAAAAAAAAATCTGTGACTGTGCACAGCAAAAGGTTAAAGTCAATTACGACCTCACAGGTCTAGCGATACATTTCCCTGTGTGTATGAGCTCTGACCTGTCTCTGAGCGGTTGCTCCTCTTTGTCCTTTGTGATGAATTTGCATATGTTTCTCTAGGATCAGCTTACTGCTGAACGTCTTTCTGCCTTGGGGACACAGCCTAAAAGCACACAGGAAGAAAAACAACATCATAAGGCACAAAGTGATCACACTGACTTTGAATTCCATCCCTGATACACTGTAAAGAGCAGCTTTGGACTAAATTGCACTCACTGGCACTGGAAAGATCGTTTGATGCCTTTGTGTTTGATCCTCATGTGCCGTCTCAGACTCGAGGAGGAAGAGAACGAGCCTTCGCAGAGAGTGCAGGGAAACCTCTTCAGCTCCTTTTCATGTAACAACATTCAGCAAAAAATAGGTTTTTTAGTTCATTCATTTAATGTCAGTGTAGAGAGCAGCACTTTCATACTTTCTCTATTAAAGGAAAACTCCAGCATTTCTCAGTTTAATCTCTGTTTACTGTATATGTACCTGTTACCACAACCAGTAACTCTGATTTGTTTCCCTGTGCTTAGAAAAGAACAGAAATCTACTGACTGAAAACACATTTACAATAGAAGCCATTGGGACGTTGCCGAATTCTGCCAGTAAACATTTAAGAGAAACTATTTTTTAAAGCATCTTTATGAATTGTTCAGTTGGGTAAATTAAGCTGTGAATCTATAGAATTCGTTCTTCAAGGGTAGAAATTAGTATTGTTAGAGTAACAGCTGAATTTTAAGGAATTCAGTAACTACAACAGTTTCTATCGTGTGAGTTTGGTCAGTGAGTTTACTGTTCTTTTTTTAAGTAAGGAGTCATAATTTTCAAATTTTCAGTCATGAAACTGTAAAAATGGAACAGGATGCCCCATCCCTTAGTGACGACAAAGACACTGGTCTGTTTATGCTGGAAAGGAAAGCTATTATAATCAAGTGGGTGTTAAAATACACAACCACTAATAACCATGTGACATCTTTCAAATAATGTAATCTTATTCCTTTCCTTATTTCTGATGTTATTCTTTTGTCTATCATTATGAAAATAACAGGAGAGGGGTATCTTTACTAACCAAAACCAGTTAAAAAGCGTTTAACAGAAAAATATGGAACAGTAAATTAGAATATCTGATAAGCAATTTAGCTTTAGCCTAACACTATACATTCTCATTCTCAGACATGTCTTCAGATAGTTTTCTTAGAATTTTTGCTTATAGTGTAAAGATTTTTTGCTCTTTAATTTATAAAACTTACATTGTTAATACTGTGAAGAATATGGTTTATATTTTTTATTTGTAGTATTTTATATATATTGTTTATACGGTAATAAGTAACAAACCATTACTTGTTAAGTAATTAATAAGAGTAACACCTTGCTGATTAATTCTTGTCCTAATACTACTTTTTCTTGAGTGCCTTGTCCCTTTGCTGCTGTAGCACAGTGAATTTCCCCAGCTGTGGGACTAATAAAGGGATATCTTATAGTTAAGAAGCATGAGATGTCTGAACTCTCTTTTCCACCAGGGGGCAGTATAGAGCCAGTGTCTTCCATTTTGGTTAGTTTCTAACCTGTTTAGTTCAATGAATGAAGCATAGAAAGACTACTGCAGCTGGCTAAAGGGCTAAAGCATACTGCACACCAGACGATAATCTCGTTGCACAGTAGATAGTACAAAACTTAGCTATAGCACATGAGAAGTGTCGCAAAAAAGCTAACTCTTAAGAAATTCACTGTTTTCCAGGGAAAAAAGGTACACGGTCAAATAGGTTTCAAATGAATAGGCTAACCACACTAGCTAAGAGATGGTTAGCATTCACCTGATTATCCTAAAGACTTTAGATTGATTGCCTTTCTTGGTGTAAATTTTATGCCGCAGTATCTACTGCGGATTTGTAATTTGGGTTTCACAGAGTACAAAAGGGTTCTCCAAGGGTTCTTCAGTAAAGAAAAGGGTTCCACATAGCATCAAAAAGGGTTGTTCTATTGTTATTGCTTGACATAGTATTATAGTTCTATATAGAACCATCTACAGTACATTCTCCATCAATCTGAAGAACAATTTATCAATGCAAAGAAGGCTTTGATCATGCAAAAGGTTCTTTGAGTGTTTTACGGTTCCATATAGAACCTTTACTAAAGAACCCTTGAAGAACCATAATTTTTAGTAGAGTGTACAGTAATATTTTATGTTGAAATAGTTTATGTTGAAAATTGCTGGAGCTGCAGCTGAAACTCCATTATCTGACTGCGACCTCTTCCTACTAAACATGGCTGCAGTTCTGCTGACCTTTCCATGCTGTTTGGCCATATGGGCGATATAGCTGTCTTTATCGGTGTAGCGTATCTGACATTCTGAGCAGCTCCACGTTTGGACGCTGGGCATAGTAAAGTGCTCATTCTCTCCTGGATCTCCATCTCTCTCCCCAGCTTCCTCCTCTTCTCTCCTCCACTCCTCCCCATCGGAGCTCTCCATCTTCACCATGCTTTTCTGAGCTGATACATCGCTCAGGTTTCTGTGAGAAGCCTGAAGACAGAGCAGAGGGACAACAATAGAAATTAACAGAAGAATGAAAAACACTTTAATATATCGCCAGTATAAAACATACATAAACCAAAGCTTCTCCTTGGTGTAACTTTAATACGAAAACAGTATAAAACAGTCAATTCGAAACAAACTATCACAGGTTACTAGGACATTACTTCAGCATGAAGTAGCAGAGGCAGAAGTTAATAAACCTTATTAGTAGGAACTTTGGGAAAGTATTGTGACATTGATTGTTGATTCCAGTGTTTTTCTTAGACCAAGATGTTTACTTCAGTGTTCCTAGCACTGCTGTTCCTCAAATGCACTACAAATTTCAGTTTTTCTCTCCTCCCAGCACACCCAACTAAGGCTACAGTTACACAGCAGGTAAAAGTGGCCCAAATCTGATTTTCTCATCAAATCAGATTTTTTTTTGTTTGGCTGCTCACAATGTCTTTTAAATGTGACCTGTATGCGACATCAGTCTGTAGAGATCAGCTCCTAAACCGACCCGCATGTGCAAAAGAACAATGTTTCACGTTGCTTCACGTGGCTCATCCGGAGGTAAACAATCAGGACGATGAACGAACACCAGTCGCTCCCGGAGGTTCAGCTTCATCTTCGCCAGCATCACAGGAGCCATCATGAAGCTTCGTTGACTGACAGCTGGGCTCCTTACCCAGAACGTGTTCGAGCTTGCCGTAAAAAGGGCGCGGTCACTTCTTCAATTCGTGTCCTTGGATTCTTTAAACTTTGCTTTCAGACTTTTCTTTGACGCTGCAGCCTCGGTCTCCTCCGGCCGCGTTAGGCCATTTTTTTCTAAATCTCTTCGAACACAGAGCGGTTGCAGTAAGTCTCTTCAAATTTTTTGGTACAAAAACATCAGCCTAAACGTTTATTAGGTCTCAGCAGCGCGAAATTATAATGAGTTGGACTGCCGTAAAAGTTGTATGAATTCCGATCTGGCAATTCAGACTCATGATGAGTCGCATTGCCACATATTGGATACGCACATCCGATTGGATTTCAGCACAACATATGAAAGCGTCTCAAACCGGAACTGAAAATATCAGATTGTCAGAATGTATTTTTTGCTGTTCACACTTACACAGATGACACATCTGTGTCACATATGAGGAAAAAGATCGGATTTGGGCCACTTTTACCTGCTGTGTGAACAAAGCCTAACCTCTTCAGCTAATGAATAAGCTTCTCAGGATATAAAAATGGGTATACTAGAGCGACAGATATGATGTTTGCATTTAAAAAGTAAAAGTAAAATATTTTCAAATATATAAAGGGAACAGAAGGTCAAAAACAATTTAATAAAACAATTTAGTTAATAAAATAAACAAAAAAGCAGGTTAAAGAACTGACATCCATTCAGCTACTGCAGCTACTGTATGTTTACAGGCTCTCTATAACAGATCTAAATCTAAACCTGTATCACATTCATATATACATACAGTTCAATGTTTTAGAAGTACTGATAATCCCTATAATATTCTCAGAAAAGACTATGTAGACATAATTTAGCATGATAACATCATTTTGCCACCTCCTAGTGTAGAACACCCAAGATAACGCAGTTCTTCCTGAACACAATCAAACCTGTGAAGAAAATAAAAGCCTTACCTTCACATGTGCCAGGAGTGAACCTCTCTGAGTGAACAGCTTGTTGCAGTCAGGACATTTAAACACATGAACCTTCTGCTTTGCCAAATGAGTGTCAAAATGGACGTTGAGCAGAGCCTTCTGGGTAAAAACCGTCTGACACAAGACGCATTTGTAGATCTCCCTGTATAAAAAGGGTGAGAAAAACATTACATTACACATTAGACTCCTAATACAAAACACCTACAACATAAACTAGACCGGTATATTTGCATTTGACACCCACTTGGACTGTTTGGCCGCGCCTGTGAGAGAGGGGTGCTGGGCCGTAGAGTGGACTTCAGCGCTGGGGGCAGATTTGAAGGCCATGGGGCAGGCAGGGCATTTATGGAAGACTTCACAATGAGCTGTCTGCATGTGATTTTTCACTGCATTCAAACTGTTCACACCTCCAAACACCAGCTGACAACAGGCACACCTGCAGAGACAAAGAAATGAAGGAACCCTGGCGCTGAAGAGGGCCAGCTAACAAACAGATACTGCTTTCACATGTACACTCACTGAGCACTTCACTAGGAACACCTGACACCTACTGATTCATGCAATTATCTAATCATGTGGCAGCAGTACAGTGAATAAAGTCATGCAGATACAGGCCAGCAGCTTCAGGTAAGGTTCACAACAACCATCAGAATGAGGAAAAAAACATGATCTCAGGTTTTGACCGTGGCATAATTGTTGGTGTCAGACGGGCTGGTTTGAGTATTTCTAAAACTGCTAATCACTTGGAATTTTCAAGCACAACAGTCTCTAGAGTTACTCAAAAGGGTGCAATAAAGAAAAAACACCCAGTGAATGGCAGTTTGGCAAACAGAAACCCCTTGCTGATGAGGGGCGTCAACGAAGAATGTCCAGACTGGTTTGAGCTGACAGAAAGGCTACAGCAACTCAGATAACCACCTTGTATAACTGTGAGCATAAAAGCATCTCAGAATGCACAACAGGTTAAACTTTGAGGTGGATGGGCTACAACAGCAGAAGACCATGTCGGGTTCCACTTCTGGCAGCCAAAAACAGAAAGCTGAGGCTGCAGTGGGCACAGGCTCAGCAAAACTGTACAGCTGAAGACTGGAAATAGCCTGGTCTGATGAATCTGGATTTCTGCTGAGCCACACAGATGGTAGGATCAGAATTTGGCACCAACAGCATGAATCCAAGAACCCAGCTTGCCTTGTGTCAGCAGTCCAGGCTGGTGGAGGTGGTACAATGGTGTGGGGAATGTTTTCTTGAACACTTTGCTGACCATGTGCATCTCTTCATGGCCTTGTGCATCTTATAATGGATACTTCCAGCATGATAATACGCCATGACACAAAGCAAAAGTCATCTCAAACTGGTTTCATGAACAAGACAATGAGTTCTGCGTTCTTCGGTGGCCTTCCTAGTCACCGGATCTGAATCCAAAAGAACACCTTGGTGATGTGGTAGAACGGGAGATTCACAGCACGCATGAAAGTTCATCTGAAAAATCTGTCTTCCAGTGAAAAAAGGTAAAAAAAAAGGTGAAAAGGTGAAAAAGGTGTTCTTCAATAGTCAAGACCCCCACAGGACCACCACAGAGCAGGTATTCTTTGGGTGCATCATTCTCAGCACTGCAGTAACACTGACATGGTGGTGGTGTGTTAGTGTGTGTTGCACTGCTACAAGTGGATCAGGCACAGCAGTGCTTGTATGATTGTTTGTGCCAACTCCAGATGTTATTTAGGTTGAGCTGATTATTGTAAATCCATGTATGGGATTCACACTTATAGAAGTGAGAGTTACACTCTGCTCTGTTTGTATTGCTCCTGTTCTGTCTCCATTATCATGTCATTCCATGATCCAGTCCAGGTCTTCTGCTCTCACCACTCGTTCCTGTCCATACTGCAATCCATCTTCAAGCTGCTTATTACATCATTAACGGAGGGAAAGAACAAAAGAGGCCTCCTCGGATCCACTGCCAGCTTTTCGCCCACTTGCTTTGGCTTGGTCGTTTTTTTTTGCTCAATTGACTGTTTGGCCTTTTGACTCTGCTTTGTTTTGACTTTTATTCAGTCCAGCCCACTCAAACCTGTTTGCCTGTTTATTTTCATACACAGTCCCTTCTTTGTGTAATTTTATAAATCGGGTTAGGTGTAGGACCTGGCTGCCATTTTATTTGGGTTTTGTGTTCTGTGTTCGTCAGGAAGCTGTTTGCTTTTTGTTTATTATTTTGTTTGGCTGAGGTTAGTTAGTGTCTCTTGGAGTTAGTGAGGCTTTTGTTTGTTGTTTTGGCTTTGGCCAAACCTGAGGGTCTAACTCAAGGATCGGCAACCGAAATGTTAAGAAGAGTCATGTTGCCCTTTCAACAAAAATCAAACGACTTTGGAAGTCACAACATTTTATGTCCACTTTATTGACGTTTACCATCTTGGCTGAAAATATGTCTCAGTATGTGCTGATGTATAGGCTAAAAAACATAAACAAAAACGCAGACTTTAATCTTTAGCTCAGCTTCTCGCATCTCCGGCAGGAAACCTTTCCGCAAAAGTAGAATAATTTCTTGTAAAATGCATCTCATTGTTTGATTTTTTACAAGACTGAAGTCAACTTCTTATTTGAAATTTCCCGTTTACCCTAAATGGCGCCTGAGGCACCAGAATGTAACTGCTACACCATTTAAGGTGGAACGGGTGAACCAGCAGCCTGCGCGCCAACCTTCAGGGTTAAAGAGTGAATTAGCAGTTATACATTAACTCAAGATCGTTAAGATCATTTATTGTTAAAACTGTGTTGAACGATCAGCAGAGCTTTATTTTACTGAACGGGAGGATTGTTTTATTTTTTCCCTAAAAATCTAATTCTGCTGTGGAGTCACATGTTGCCGACCCCTGGTGTAACTGCTGTTTACGTAATACACTTTGGATTTGCTGTTAAGAACCTTTTACCATTTGTTGATTTTGTCTCATTATTAGACATTAAACAAACATTAATAAGCATACATTTCGCACCACACCATTCCTTTCTGACTTGACCCCAGACCGGGTCGTAACAACGTGTACCTGTATCCGAGCTGCCGCGTGTAGTGCAGGCAGGTGTGCCTCACGTGAGAGCTTAAGTTTTTGGACAGGAAGACAAGGCCACACTCGGGACAGACGAGAGGGGGCAGCTTCTGGTGAATCCGCTGGTGAGCAGCAGCACTGCAGGAGTTCCACAGAGGCATCGGAGGAGAACACTGCATACAGCTCTGCAACACAGATATTCAAAGGTTACCGGGACAGAAGAGGTGGACAATATGGCAAAAACATATTACTTCAGACATATTACGAACCACCCTGATCACAAGTTGGAACTGACAAAAAAGTAACACTAGTGCCACATTAAAAAAAAAATATTATCAAAACTATTTTATTCAACATTTCATGCTCCACCCTAAACTTCATGTTTTACTCTATTACCTTGTTGTTTCATAATTATATCAGTAAATAAACTTAACAGTAATATATACTGATAAACTTTAAAAATGTTTTTCTATTTAATCACTAAAGTGAAACACATAGCTTTCCTTATTCTTTTCCTACAGTATTCATAATAATGTTTAATGGAATATGTGAAAATTGTAAATATTTGATAGTTGCAGCTGCACGTATATATTGGAACCAACTGCCTGTTGAGCTCTCATACAAACAACTGATAAACTTCAGTGATAAATCTACCTTAATCTAACCTCTATTCAAAAAGGAACTGTTGTTTATCAGAAATTTTATTATGTAAAATTGATCAGAGATTAAATAAAATGTTTTTATGGGTAGCACTGGATGAACTATTGTTTCCGTGGGTTATTTAATATGTTAATGTTTAATAGGTTAATAATTTAGGGATCTTTTGTTGGAAAAACAATATAATCAATCATAAAATAACACGATTGTGCGTACACTGTACATGCTTACTGTGTCTGAGCCACTGGGATCAACTTCCTGGAAGTGTGTAGCTAGCTCTTCTATAGAGCTGAATGGACTTTTGCACTCCGGGCACCTGCAGCACAACCAGCACATCAAAATAGCACAAACAGCATGACAGCAGTTTGGTAGTCTTTCACAAAATCCTGACACTTCATTAAGAAGTAGTGCTGAACTGGGCACAACCTGACACATTTTTGCTAAGTGAAAATTTTAGCTAATGTTGAGCAGAACTGAAAAACAATCGTCAGAACATGACTAGCAAACAGCTTTGAACAGTTGTACACACAGGAAATCATGATATTTTTCAAGTTTACTTAACTGCAGAAAATATGTGTTTGACAATTAATGTTTCACACTGATTTGCAGATTTTGGGACACGAAACAATGAGATCTAATTGCTCACTATGTGGCCATGAGGGACATGGATGCAGTCCCACTTCCTGCTCTAAAATGCAGGGGTGTGGCTAAAAAAAAGGTTCTATCTATGGACTAAAACTGTTTTGGTAGTGACAGGAAATTGTGGAAGAGTATTTTTTTTATTTAATAATAATAATAATAACAATAATATGTAAATATTCCAACTTCACTTGGAAAAATAAAAAATATTTTCACAAGTGTAAATTTAGGGGTTAGAGTTTGGGACAGACACCTCCCAAATCAAAGTGTCTTATAAATAATGATTTTGTATATATTTAGCTTATTACTATCCATGTAAATGCCCTAGGTTTAAATAAATCTTAAAGATTCTTGTAAATATTTATGGTCTGAATAATTCATTGTGGGTCACTGAGGGACTGCAGTTTGTATATGGACCATTCACCATTCACCATTCAGAACGGTCCATGTACAAAAACTGCAGGTCAGAGTGGTCCGTTATTACCTTTTATCAAAGATTCCAGGCTGGCCAGAGGTTTCCTCTTTAGCTGCAGGTAAAGACGAGCAAGCCAGTAGAGATGGGGAGAGCACACCTGTCAAAGAGAGCAGATAAAGAGCACAGCAATTAATTTAGATAAGCAATTACTGCAGGTGTAAAAAATATCACTTTGCACAGAAACAACCACTTATTGTTAACCAGTAGGAGGGAAAAAAGGCCGTTTTTTTTTTTAATGTCTGCTCGTGTAAAACTCTTGCGTAAAAAAGTTACACCATGACAAGCAAATTTCTATTGCGTTGTATTTTCTACAAACCCAGATATTCACTTTTGACGGAGGTGCCATTATAATCTCTAATTCAATCGGCCTGCAGGACCTCATGTTTCCATTTTCTTTCTTCTCCTGCTAATGCTCTGCGCGTATAGAGGATAAGTAAATGGGAGGCTGATCTAATGCAGCCACTGTACTTCGATTCAGGTAGCATTTAATATGGATACATGTGCTTGAAGACTAAATACGGCGAGTAGCAGTGGGGAAAAACACAGAGATGTGTATCTGGACAGGACTAATATTATCAGACCACTGCCAAGTCCAGTTAAAATGGTAGGTAATGAGGCTTGTAATATTCTCAGAGGAGTAGACAGAAAAACACTGACATGCTTGATCCGGATGGAAATAAAACTGCCCAGTGGCAACTGTAAAAAGAAGATGCCATGTAAATGTAATCCCGTCCGAAGTGTGCGCTTGATGGTTGAAGACCAGTCTGGACAACTTGTGAAGCACCTTGAGCTTAGAAAATATCTTATTGCGATTTTTCTGACTACGAAAATACTGCCACTGCAATTTAAATTGTGATTATTTTCTATAAACTGGGGTTTAGACCTGTTTTTTTAAAACCAAGAACACCTGAAAAGCCACTTTTTCTGGCTTGAGGCTTGACCCCTTAATGTAGTGTGCCAGAAAGCCTGTAAATTGTGGTTGTGATGTCACATGGAGGTCAGTCTAACTCTATAGGCAGTACACAACTCTGTTATTAGGTTTTCTCCTTTCAAAACTGAAGTGGTTTTTGATAATGCAGGCTACAACTTAAAAAAATTGTTGCTCTGGTGATTTAAATATTGCACTCTTAAATTGCAACGTCACTATAGAAACAATTAATCGTTCAGTACTACCTTGAGCTGCATTTCTATGCATGAAAAATGCTAAACAAATATTACTATCATTATTCAAAAGTAGTACCTGTATATTATTATAATTGCCAGTAGTCAATGCCTTGATTCGTCAAAACACCCAGAGAAACCCATATGGAACATTTGGTCAAGATACCTCCAGCACACAACCAAATCTGATTGGTTAGATTTCCATATTGCATCCTGCTGTGATATCAGCATTGCAGGGGCCAATACTGTAAAAGACACAGAACAAATGAATAGTTTGTTCTGCATCTCTACAACTCACCTATAGGCACGGTGTCCTGCTGGCCAATCATCTGCTCCATGCTGACAGGTCTCATGACCAGATGAGAGCACTGCATGACCAACCCTTTCTCCTTGTGCTCCCGTGCATGCAGCAGCAGGCTGCACTTGTTAAAGAAGGCCAAGCGCTTTGAGCAGTGATTACAGGTGACCTCGATTCGCAGTGATCGCCGGTCGTAGTGTCTAGCCAGGCTGCGCTCCAAGGCAAAAGCATCGCCACACTCCAGGCAGCGGTAACCTGTGGGAGGAACTCCTAGACCCCATTCCGCAGGTGGTGGAACGGAGAGGTCCGGCTGATAGCTGGGCAGTGGGTTCTTGCTGTTGAGGATCTTGTTGAAAGCCTCCACCAGGCTGGACTGGCTGCGGGAGATCACAGCTCCTGAACTGTTCACAATGGACGCCGCTTTGGCGGAAGGCGCCGAGCTGTAAACTGTTTTCAAACCCAAGGACCGGACATTGATGCCCGAGGCAGAGGAAGACATGGATGGGGATGAACCAGAAGGCAGGGTTGATGCTTTTGTGACACTAGAGAATGATAAGGTAGCAGCCACTTTCTGTACCTTGCTAGCTGCGAACAACATGGCTGTGCTTGCGTCTTCCAACGTTGACACAGGCAGCACTGCAGGATGTCCCGATGTAGCGGGAGCAGATCTCTTAGACCTGTTGACAATCTTACGGCCCCCTAGCTGAATCTTAGAGCTGTCAGAGCCCTTAGACGCACTGGCCGCAGCTCCTTTAGCTGCCGCTCTGGAAACTGTGCGTGAGATGTTGCCTGTAGGTGTCTTAACGGCCTTGATTCGAACTTTGAGTGGCCTAGAAGGTGCTGTGGAGGCGCCCAAGCTATTCCCGGCAGCAACAGCCAGAGCTTTTGGCTCTGAGGTTTCTTGTTGTTCCATGTCTGTTTTCGCTCCTTCCTCCGATTTTTCAGCACTGCTTTGAGTATGAGGGTCGCAATTATTTCCGCATTCTTGTACACCTTCCTCACTCTCCACAGTTTCATCCTTGCCAGGAAACTCCGCTTCTGTCTGCTTTGTTGGCTCTTTCTCATCTGGCTGGGCAGTGGGCAGAGATCTGGAGGCATTGGCAGCGTTGGTGCTGCCTTGGGCAGGAGCTGGTGGGCAAGCAGGCATTTCTGGCTCAGGGCTTTCAGGGGAATCCCTCTCTTCGATAATGTGCTCCGGGTATCGCTCCATATTAGGCGGGTCAGTTTTTTCCATCACAGAAGTGGGGATGCTGCCACTCTGTGGGGGTGTCTGAAGGGTGACAGAGGGAGTTAGGCCTACAGCAGCAGCCTCTCCTTCTTGGGTGTTGCTCACAGGCAAAGTTGGAGACGACGGAGATGGGGGCTGCAAGTCGCTAGATCTCCTATGTCTGCGTGGAAACTTGGGAGACAACGATCTCTGGAGGTCAGGACTCTCCTGGATCAAGAGTGGAGGGCTTCCAAGGTCAGGTTCAGATTCATCGTCTTCAGACAAAGGATGAGGAACTCCGGTCCTTGAGGTGCTGTTTAAAGATTGAGCTAAGGGGGCAACATGAGAAGCAGAAGCAGAATGTTCTACTTCATTTTTATCCAGCTTGGGAGGAAGAAGGTCAACCAAATTTGTGGAAGGAGCTGAAATGGGTAAAGGCACAGAAGGCGGAAAGATCACAGAGTGACTAGAGGGACTGCCATCGTGGTTGCTCTCATCACCTTCACTGGCCGTTTTAGGGGAGCATGGGGACCACAGCTGGCCATTGGGCTGCATCAGAGGTTGACTGGAGTGCAGGGACGGTTCCGCAAGACTATCTGAGGCAGCGCTGAATCCATTATGGATAAGAGAGTCAGATGGTGACAGGCTGTGTTCTCTGGGTCCAAGCTGGTGAGACAGCACAGCCCCACCTCCACTTCTGTTTGCCCCGTCCAGGACATCACTTACCTGCCCTGCCATGTCCTGTTCCCGCTCCTGCTCCTCTTCCTCGCTCACATATGCATCGGAAGGCACACTGTTCTTCACTATAACACTGACCGCAGATGGATCGTGAGAAGCTAGAGGAGCACTTTCACAGACCTCTGAAGTTGCGGTGGGTCTCTGAGCTCCACTTCTCTCCTTTCCACCACCACCGGATTCGCTGTGATTGCCATCAGGTTCCCTCGTGTGAGACTGAATTGCCTCTTTAGCATCAATGTCTGGAATATCAAATGCTGCCAGGAGGTCATCAAAATCTGGTGTCTTCATGTCACCCATAACTCTGTGAACAACAGATGCCTACAGGTAAAATAAACAGTGGAAAAATATTTTTGTTAGCTAACATACAACATATGATATGTATCAGGATATTTCCGCCCAGTCGTGGGCTGGAGGTTAGGGAACCAGCCCAGTGACCGGAAGGTCGCCGGGTTCGATCCCCTGAGCCGTCAGTACATGACTGAAGTGCCCTTGAGCAAGGCACCTAACCCCCCAATGGCTCCCTGAGCGCTGCAGATAGGGCTGCCCATCGCTGCCCCCTAGTGTGTGTGCATTCACTAATGTGTATGAGGTGTTTCACTGCACGGATGGCCCATTGTGGGACTAATAAGGGTCACTTAATCTTAATACGTTTAATAAGTTACAGACAAAATAGTAAATAGCCCCACACAACTTCTATGAGTATAATGGCTTTAGTTCAAAGTATATGTGAGTATAAGTATGTTTAGTTCACACACTACTATACACAATCCACTAATTATGCTCTCTTTATAATAAACATGCAGTGGTTCAGTGTTCTTTAAAAATGTCCCACATCCTATATTTTTCTTGTGTTACCTCTTACATGTAAAGTTTGTGCAAATTTATGTATCAAAAACAGTCATAATTTCATTTTTACATGACCACATTCCTCTCTTTTATTTCTTTCACTTAAACAGGCCATTTTTGTTATTGTGCTGTTATGACTGACATACGTAAATGACCTCTGTCATAATTGGCTGCCCTTTACTGCGCCTTGTTCAAAAAGCAGCATAAGCGGAAACACTCCTTATAACTTCAGTGTGACTGGGCAGGGCCAAAAGGTGGATGTATGACATCACAAAAACAATGAATTTCATCTTTTCCATCTTTGTTTCCATATATGAAACACTACATTTAGAAAGCTTTAGCAATGTTTACATACTACATTAGAGACTCTTTCATTTTAATAAAGTGAGTGAAAAACAGTTTTTCCATGGTATAAGCCCTTTAAGTATGAAGATACACATGACATACTCAGAAACGATTACGACAACAATAAACACTGTCATATTGCCCACCTCTACACCCTTAAAAAAGAGGCTCTGTGGCCAATGGTTACATATACACTAGCAAAAAGGGTTAAATATAGTACCAAATAAAGGTTGAATGACTTATAACAGCCATATGGAACCAAGGTTATTTAAAGAACTATGTACAATAGATAGTCTATCATGAAAAAGAACCACTTAACCACATAAAGAAATGTACCATTCACTCTTCAGTCTGTACGGCCCACCTACGGAAAATAAGCTGTAAAAGAAGCCCATTTTGGATTCACTTTGATGTCACGAAACCAAGAAAGTTTCAGGGTGGGCTGCTTCTTGAATGAGGCAAAGTACATGGCAGCCAACTAATTTACATTTAACAGAACTCATTTACATATATAATTCTTAAAGGAACAGTAGCAGAAACCACTTGTTTAATTTAAGGGATAAATGAGAGGCTGGAAATGGTCATGTAGAAATGAATCATGACTGTTTTTGCTACATAAACCAACATGAATGTCTGGAAATAAAACTAAAATACAAGAAAAATGTAAGATATGGGCTCTTTAAAGAACCATGATTCTATATAGCACCAAACCAGGTTCTGCTATTGTGACAAGCTTGACGTCAGAACAATAAAAGAACCCTTTTTGGTGCTATTTTCAAAAAGGTTTCATATAGAACCATATACAACACATTCTCCATCAATCTGAAAAACCATTGCACGATGCGAATGGTTCTTTGAGTGTTCATGGTGCTATACAGAACCATTATTTTTACTTGAAGAACCATCTTTTTAAGTGTGTAGTTTTTTTTTTTTTTTGGGATCGCTGTTTTGCTCAGAGTGTACTTCATAACATATCTTGTCCTGTTACGGAAATAGCCCACTTGACCAGCTTAATGGCTTGGTGGAGTTTAACCATTAACTAAGCAGCACAGCTCAAAAGGCTGTGCTCTCAGGAAGTGTAGTTAAATCGAGAGGCTGCCAAGTTAACCTGCTAAACTAACTAACGTTACCTTAAAGGAGAATTCCACTCATTTTTCAAAAATTTCACATAACTAAACGATTGAGATGTAAACAAAGTCATTCAGAGTGGTTTGGTGTGAAATGCTCTGTTCAAGAGAAACTTACCAAGTCAGACTGTTCACAGTGGTGGTGATAGGAACCAGACGTCCACCTCTAAACGCTCCCTCACAGAAAGTTACTACATAAAACGGTTACACATATGCTGCCTTATGTCTGACCCACTGTTATGTACTGATGGTTACACATATGCTGCCTTATGTCTGACCCACTGTTTTACTGATGTGCTTTTGGCGTAAAATTTCATTTGAATCCATTTATTTTAAATCATTCAGGGCAAAGGGGTACACACAAGGCAAAACAGTTCCCAAAGGAAATGTATTATTTTCAGATTTATGACTATTTTACCATCATCAACATTACATATAAAAACTCAGAAGTCACATGTAGGTACAGGACCACTGGTGATTTTGGACAGTAAATAAACTGGCCATATTTGTTTGGTAGACATCGACCACCACGAGTTCCTCTACAATGAATAATTTCACGTCAAACCACTCTGAATGACTCTGTTCACATCTGAGAGACTGAATCATTCAGAAATTTTGAAAAAACTGGTGGAATTCCCCTTTAACATTAATCTTTACAACAGAACGTTTGTCGGTCTTGCTGCTTTTCCTCCAACTATAACCACATGCATGTCATCTCAACTGTCAAGTTAGCTGCCTAGCTCGCCTGCTAGCTGGATGACTGACTGACTCACTAACTACAAGCTAAAAACAGTCTGATATAACGTTAGTTACATTTTTAAAACTTAGACAGTTAACCTAAATTCGTTAAAACTTACTAACCTAGCAACTTAGCTAGAAACCTGACACGAATGACTATTCACCAGCTTCTTCTTCGAATTTTCCGTTCCACCTTAAACGGTGCAGCAGTAACAGTCTAGTGCTCGAGGCGCCAGAATGTAACTGCTGCACCATTTAAGGTGGAACGGAAAAATTCGAAAAAAAAACTGGCGAATAAGAAGCTGGCTTCCCTTGCCCAGTTCTGACACATTTTTTCGAGCACTTAGCTTAACCAAACCATGCCGGCCGTGTGCGGACAGTCCGACAATCTGTCTGTTGCTAATTTACTCGTTAAAACTGCAGGCAAATCGTGCAGCTCAGCAGGGACGCTAACTTTACGCAGCTAACACCGCAGCCTCGACGACCACTGACGCGGCTAACTTAGCTACTGTTAGCTTAGTAAGCATAAGCCGCTGCGCTGAAGTTCAGGCGAACCTGAAGCCAAACCGGTGAAGGCCGTCACAGCACGGGGTTTGCAAAATAGCCGTTGGCTGTATGTCTTTAAAAAGTAAGCAGAAGCACGTTTTTACTGCCAGCTGCAGAGCTAAAACAGGACATTTGAGTTTTGTTTAACGTTACCTGCTGGTTGCTGACTGTTCCTGGCCTCTGCCAGGGCGGCGCACAACAGCCGCGTCATCTCGAGGAAGTTGGAGCAGGTTTTCAACCTGAATATCGACAAAAATAACAGTATTCTCAGTGTTACAAGTACGGAGCCCCTAAACTACATGGGGATTATTTTTTAATAAAGAGCGTTCAGGAATTAATACACTACCGCCACGAGTTACTATATTGAGGCCACGAATTAAGTTTCTCATAACTCTCGGCCTCAAAATATTAATTTGCGGCCTCAAGATGTTCGTGGGCTCAGTGTAGTCAATTGTGGCCTCAATATAGAAAATCATGGCCAAGTGTGGCTTCAATATAGTAAACTGAGGCCTCGGTGTAGTAATTTGTGGCTTTGATATAGTAAATTGTGGCCTCAGTGTAGTAAACTGTGGCCTCATAGTAATTCTCGGGGTGTTGTGGGCGAGGTATAGTAATTTGTGGCCTCAAAATATAAAAACGTGTGGTCTCGGTGTAGTCATTTGTGGGCTCAGTAGAATGAACTGAGGCCTCAGTATAGTAACTTGTAGCCTTAAAATACAGATATTTGTGGCCTCACTATAGTCCTTTGTCGTCTCAATATGTTTGTGGGCTCAGTGTAGTAAATCTTGGCCTCAATATAGTAAACTGAGGCCTCGGTGTAGTAGTTTGTGGCCTCAATATATTCATGGCCTCAGTGTAGTAAATTATGGCCTCACTATAGCAATTCATAACCAACTGTGGCCTCAATATAGTATATTTTGGCTTAGTATAGTCATTTGTGGCCTCAATATAGTAATCTAAGGTCACGCCTTATTAAAAATTAATCACCATATCATTATAGGGGCTTCACATAAAAAAGAACGAAACATACAGTTCTTTTGAGGTTATTATCATTTTTTGCACGCACTTTAGAAATGTTATGTTACAGATAATCTATGTGTGACTGTGCTTTCACTCCCAGTTGTCCACCTGTTGTGTTCATGTTAAAGGGCCCATATGATAGAAAACTGCCCTTTCTTCACTTTTTTGGAAATGAGAGTTTGTGGCATGTAAGCACTGTTAAAGGGGAATTTTTAAACTTTCTTCATAATTAATCAATAATTAACAAAGATGTAAACAAAGTCATTCAGAGTGGTTTGGTGTGAAATGCTTCATTCTATAGAGAAACGTACCGAGTCAGAATCCTTCACAGTGGTGGTGTTAGGAACCAGATGTCCGAAGTGGTTTAATGCCTCTAAAAAAATCCCTCAAAAAAAAATTATTATGTAAAATTCCCTTTAAGGTTTCAAAATGTACTGTTCCCTCCGGAGTATGTATACGGAAACTATGCTGCAAAAAACAGCCTGTTTTGGATTTAAGGTTTTTGTGATGTCACAAAAACCAGCACATTGACATATATCCAGCAGTGTTTAGTCCTGCCCATTCACTGTCAAGTTATGAAGAATGTTTCAACCCAGATTGCTTTTTGAATGAGTCACAATAAAGGGCGGCCAATCATAACAGAGATCATTTACATATATCAGTTATAAAGACACAGTAACAAAAACACCCTGTTCAGTCCTAAGGAATAAAGGAAGGTTGGGAAATAGTCATGTAAAAATGAGTTACGACAGCTTTTTGGCACGTAAACCCACAGAAATCATAAATGGACCTGTGAGAAAAATAAAATACAAGCAAATTGATAAATAATGGGATTTTAAAGGGATGTTAAGACACATAGGCCCCAATATAGTGTACATGTCCAATACCGACCAATCAAAATATTTTCTTATTAAAAAGTAGCCTGCCATTTTTGTTGCTGCACCAACAAAAATGCTGAGTGAGGAACAGTGAGCTGAATATCTCATTTAACTCTAAAATATCATTCAGCTTTTCCAACTTTAGCTAGAGTGTGACATTACTGCAGAGAAAAACTTGGTGGCCTACTAGTAGAGGAATTTTGTCCATATGTCTTGTTGTTTTATGATAAACAAAACATTCCTATTTGGTTTAAACGTCTTTAAATAGATGTACACTGATTTAAGGCATAGAGGTCTTAACAGTCAAGGTTCTCTTTAAAGGTTTTACATAAATAAAGTAATACAATGATAAACTGCCAGCGTTCTCTTAAGTACAACCAGAGCCAGTTTATGTGGAACCCGGCCTCTTCCTATTTCCCCCATTATATCAAAAACAGGACTGCGAAATGCCAGACGGCACCCGCAAGCAAGTCCTCAGTGGACGGGGAGTAAATGGAGCTAAATGGCTAAAAATGAAAGGTTTAAATATTTTCTAATCACTCGCCCAGAACTTTCTTTTAATTTTAGAAAGTAGAAGGATGTATTTCACTAAAAAAGCAAAGAAAACTCACCTGTATATTTCCTTTTTTCTACAGCAAAATTAAAAATGTGAAAAATAATTAAAATGTGTTATGCTGTTCTGTGTTTAGGAAATGAATGAGTTCCTTTATATTAAAAATGTTTAAGCATTTATAAAGTATGATTTTGCTCAATATTAACCCATTTATTTTGAACTCGCTCGGGAGCGCCCTCTAGCGTTTGCTCTGCTCCAAGCTTTCCGAGCTCAGACGCGCGCTCTCACGTGAACTGCAGACGGTGGGCGGGACATATCATCTGCCAATCACTACATGCCTGCGCTCTGATTGGTCAAAAATAACATACTTCGCCAGCTTATGGAGCTAAACAGTGACAGCCCACTTTCGTTCCGGAAGTAAAAATCCCACTCATTTTCTTCATAAACATTTATGAAGATATGTTTATAAACCCTTTATATAAAGGGTTTTAAGCACCCAATGGAACCAACAAGCAAGAGATATGTAAAGACATTATAAACATGTAATTGGGGCAGCAAAAAGGACAAAACGTCTTAAAAAACTTGGTTCAAAAAAGCAAAGGTACAAGACTGTAGGGGAATTCTACCAGTTTTTCAAAAATTCTTATTAAACATAAACACAAATTCATAATTAAGTGGGTGAGATGTCAACAAATATTACATATAAAACATGTAAATACAATGGCTGTGTGTGTGTGGTAGACATCATGACCCCTGGTTCCCATCATCACCACTGTAAAGAAATATGACAGTGTAAATTTCTCTACAATGAACCATTTCACATCAAACCACTTTGAATAATTTCGTTTACATGTCAATGATTCAATTCTGAAGAAATTTTGAAAAAAGGGTGAAATTCCCCTTTAACGTTTTTCATTGTAGAAATGAACTACGAATCCCACAAAGCACTGCGAGCGACGTCAACCAATCACTTTCCCTCCACTCCAAGCAGTTTTCAGCCAACTGTTTCCCACCGAGACGGCGCTGAGTGAGCGGGTTAACGAGACGAAACCCGGCCTGCCGTCTCAGTGTTTTTGTCTCAGATGGCTCTCCTACATAGCCAACTTTATTTTTTATAATCCTAATAAATAGATACGTTGATGTGATTTAAGCGCTTAGAACCAGAGCAATTCACCGAGCTGCTGTGGAGGTCGGGCTTTGTTGGTAAGCTAACTGCTAAGCTAAGCTGCCTGGCAACAACCTTAGCCTGTTTCTGCTAGAAGCTAAAGAATTGGTTAAAAATGCCATTTTTCCATCACGGTGTGCCGGATTTCAGTCAGTATTTGGTGGTTTAGAGTTGTTCTGTGCAGACCGGTTAATGTAAGAGCAGGAGTTCAGGGATAGTCTGTGCGAATGACTTGTGTGGGGAAGCGAGGCTGCACATTTGTGTGCACGTTAGCTGTAGCGGTTAGCCGTGGTAGCTGCTCTGTGTAGTGTTTGTTGCTGCAGGTTTAAGGGCGGTGCGTTACTGTGATCTGTTAGTTAGAACTTTCTAATGAACGGCGGAATCATTTGCGATCAGACCTGATTGGTGCTGGTTTTGTGGTCGTTAGCGTGTTGTGACGGGTGCATGGCGCGTCTGAATGGGATCCAATGAGTGCCTTGTAACGTGTTCAAACAATATCTATCTGTCTATCTACCTGTCTTCTATGTGTCTACCTGTTTATCTGTGTATCCATCATCTGTCTGTCTGTCTGTGTACCATCCATTTATCTGTTTATCTATCTATTCAACCATCCATCCATCTATCTGTCTGTCTATCCATCCATCTATTTGTCTGTCTATACATCCATTTATCCGTCTGTCTGTCTATCCATCCATCTATCTGTCTGTCTATCCATCCATTTATCCGTCTGTCTGTCTATCCATCCATCCATTGGTCTGTCCGTCTATCCATCCATCCATTGGTCTGTCCGTCTATCCATCCATCCATTGGTCTGTCTGTCTATCCATCCATCCATTGGTCTGTCCGTCTATCCATCCATCTATCTGTCTGTCTATCCATCCATCTATCTGTCTGTCTATCCATCCATCTATCTGTCTGTCTATCCATCCATTTATCCGTCTGTCTGTCTATCCATCCATCCATTGGTCTGTCCGTCTATCCATCCATCTATCTGTCTGTCTATCCATCCATCCATCTGTCTGTCTGTCTATCCATCCATCCATCTGTCTGTCTATCCATCCATCCATCTGTCTGTCTATCCATCCATCCATCTGTCTGTCTATCCATCTATCCGTCTGTCCGTCTATACATCCATTTATCCGTCTGTCCGTCTATCCATCCATTTATCCGTCTGTCCGTCTATCCATCCATCCATTGGTCTGTCCGTCTATCCATCCATCCATTGGTCTGTCCGTCTATCCATCCATCTATCTGTCTGTCTATCCATCCATCTATTTGTCTGTCTATACATCCATTTATCCGTCTGTCTGTCTATCCATCCATTTATCCGTCTGTCCGTCTATCCATCCATCCATTGGTCTGTCTGTCTATCCATCCATCCATTGGTCTGTCCGTCTATCCATCCATCCATTGGTCTGTCCGTCTATCCATCCATCCATCTATCTGTCTGTCTATCCATCCATCTATCTGTCTGTCTATCCATCCATCTATCTGTCTGTCTATCCATCCATCTATCTGTCTGTCTATCCATCCATCTATCTGTCTGTCTATCCGTCCATTTATCCGTCTGTCTGT